ATTATTTCGATCTTATGTTCCAATAATTTCCACATTAATGACAATCATCCAATTAGAACGTGATTTTAAACGGGACGAATGCTTTAAATTATTCAGCCCTTTGAAATTTTTCTACGAAACTTTACCATAATACGTCTCGTTTTTAATTTGAAATTGAGAGAACACAATGGTTTTCACGTTGTCACTATTATGTTTTATCATCTTTGTAGTTTTAAATCGCTATATGAAAAAAAAACTCTGTTTATACTTTAAATCAAATAAATCCTACATTACAATAGTTTATTACGTACAAAACAGAAAAAACCAATAATTTTTGAAAGGAATATGACATGAGTGAAAGAAAATAAGATATTACTAACAGAATTTTATATTTGTATTTATCCTTCTAATACAGTCATATATATTTAAATGGAGATTTTAACTAAGAATATAATCGATGTCCTCTAACAGTGTGTTCCATTTACAATTTTTCACTTACGATTTAACCCTAAGATAACTTTTGAGCACCTATGTGTTGATATGCCTAACTCGTTCAGCCCATCAGTCTATATCTAAATTGTATGTAATAATTTATTCTATAATCACATTCTGTTATGTCTATCATTTCTATTCAAGTTCGTCTAGAAGAAAATTTCATTATTTTACTAGAATAAATATTTAATATTGTTTGATTAATTAATTGATTATTTTTTTTCTTCCTATTTTTACTTCTAAATCCGAAAATCATTAATATTTTAATTCATATAAAGTATGGACATTCATCTTATGCATTTCATTAATAAGATTACAATACTAATAATATATACAGGGATAAACAGAATGGATCTGAACTATGACAAAGAAAATAATAGAAGACAAAATCAACTCAATTGAATGTGTAGAAAGTAGACAAATGCCTGCGTTTCAATAGTCTCTCTAATTTTCCTGCTGACTTTATTTTTTTTAAATTGCTTGGCTATAACTTGTTTCCTGACATTTCATTTAATTATGCAGCTTCATCTAAACGAGTGTATTATTTTTCGTTCTTGATTACTCGTTGTTAAAATATAAATATGAGATGTTATCATCCCGCCTTTCAGATAATCCTTATCATACATTAAAGTTGTTCTTGCTGATATCATTACATTACACTTAAGTCTTTCACTTTACCAGAAACGTACATCTTTATATATTCTTATTGTTCAGTAAATGTGTGTAAATTGTATTGCAGGCATTTATTTGTTGCATTAATCTTATTATCTGATTCAATTTTCTGTTAATTCTAAGAATTCTCAATCATAATCCTACATTTCAAGTATGGGTGGGTTGCAGTTCAAATACAATGCACCAAGCCATTGCTTAATTTTAAGATGCTTTCAAACTTCTGATATTGATATTCAGTAGGCATGATGTATTATGGTAAACCATTAAATTGCACTTTTGTCTACATAATCGACTGCAAACCTATTAACTCCCATTCATCTACGTATATATACCGTACATTGTATAAAATATATGGTGAATTATGTGTTATAGTACGACAATTCTAATTTATTTTCCAAGTTGATTTACAAATGACACATTATTAATACACACCATTATTCTTTGTGAATTCTACTCTTGTTATCTATTAATTTACGTATAAAAGTCTACATATATTCATATATAATGACATCTATGAAGCTGGCGTTTTTCTCTGTCTATTCTTTTAATTATCTGTGTTTAATATACATATATACTTCTTAATATCAAATACAGATTTATCTCTTCTGCTAATTCATCATATTTTGTCACAGAAATAACTGAACAAAGAGATATTGGAGAAAGATAATTGTGTATTAAGTAGTTACGTAAGTGACAAGCCGAAACCCGTATACACGAACGAAAAAGATAACCGTTTGCTGGGTGATAACTTGTCAGTGCTTCCAAACTTCAACTGGTTTCTCGACTGATTTCAATACTCTTATGCTTTATAGTTAAGAGATTGACTTGTTAGTTACGTTTTAACATTCTACGTTATTATTAACAAAAGGACTGGTCAAAATGTCCAATTTTGTACGAGATATTGTCAATATGCAATGTGAATACTATGATCATTGAAATTATTATTATCAGTGCAAAGTAGGTATCCATACCAAGGTTGGACTTGATAGTTTCAAATAAATTGAGCATTGTGTAGAGAGTTAATAATAAATATATTTGTGTCATATTACAGTGAGTAAAAAAATCATATTTCTGACGTTTCATGGCTTAATTTAAGCCACTTCTTCAGAGTAAATAAACGACCGACATTAACTCAAGTTTACATAACATAAAAGAAACAATGCAAAATATTTTTAGTACAATTAAAATCATAATAGGTCTGAATATGTCAATGTGAAATTATTCTAGCATGGCATGTCACTGTACTAATTTGTGTGTCAGAATGTAGGCATGAGAGATGTACGCATTTATGATATAAAGTAGTAGGTTGAGATTGTGTAAAAATAAAGTTGAATGTGGTTGTTTGGAAAAACAGTTCAGGTTGGATGAATCATTCGGGCCTTCATTTAGGGTAGAGGGATTTAGCATGTGAAACGCTTTAGCTACTCGCATCTCTTTGTAGTTAGAAAACCCTTTCTGAATTATTTTGATATTTTTAATATCGATCTGGTGAATATTGTAAATAACATGTACTGCTAGTGCTGATTTGTGAATTTTCCAATTCTAGAGAATTATTAGGTTTTTTGTGTAACTTAAATGTTCCTTGGTACGAGTCGAGATCTTACGGGGAGATTCTCCAGCATTGAACGCATCACAATCGATACAGCCTAATCTGTAGACAATTTTGAGCGGAAGTGAACGGAATCCTATCTTTATTTCCAACTAAAGCGTTTCCTAATGTGTTAGTTGTCTTATAGAAAGCTTTAGTATCCGCTGCAATTCTTTTGTACCGTGATGGTAAGGTAAAACTACGGTACTAATACATGAAATTTCATTAGGTTTTTATTTACCGAAGGACAGTTTTGTTTTAATGTTTATAGTAATATTTTTAGAAAAATTGTTAGAATGTAGGACGTATATTGTATTCTCTTTTTCTTTCAGCTTGTCTTCTTCTGAGGTAGTGTTTTTGGTTGCTCTTCTGAAGAGATTTAGAGTTAGGGAAATTTTGACACTAAATGCATGTGCAGAGTTAAAATCAATATACCGATTTGGATGTATCGTTTTTCGGTATATAGCTTTCATTAGAATTCCTTTTAACCAAACAGTTTAAGAACGATGGTTCACTATGTTCATCTTCCTTTTTGACAGTGACTTTGATGTTTTGAGAAATTAGTAAGAAGTCTTTTCAATAATGACGATTATGTCATCTACATATCTGAGCCAGATGGGTGATCTTGATTGTATTGGCCAAAATGATCGTCACAATGTGGGACATAAATAAATTTACGATCTTCGATACTGAAGACCCCTTGATCAACAATAATTTCACATTGACATATTCAGACCTATTATGATTTTAATTGTACTAAAAATATTTTGCATTGTTTCTTTTATGCTATGTAAACTTGAGTTAATGTCGGTCGTTTATTTACTCTGGCTTAAATTAAGCCACGAAACGTCAGAAATACGACTTTCCTACCAGATGTAATGTAACAAAGGCATATTTATTATTAGTGCAATCGTCTCAAGACGTTAAGATCCAGATAACATACTTCAATTCACTTAAAGATTTAATTTAATGGAAGTATTTTAATGCGTCAAAAAATGTAGCAACTATTCAAATTCAGAGACTGGCCTTAATTCCAGCCAAACATAGCCGTAACCACTCAGGGATCTTTAAATATTATCATTATTACTAGGCATAATCAAACACACATAAGCTGATTTTCAGAAACTGAACGCCACCGCATTAAATGATAATTTGATCTATAAACGTTTAAATGAAGACGATTTGTAGGCATTTAACAACTGGCTTAAGCAAAATTCCTATCAATGCCATCTCAATCGTACCCGATTTTCATCAAACTCAATATATCAAGCCAAAATGAACGTAACTAATTCGCAGACTCGCTCTCCGCTATAATCCGTCTTTCTAAAAATTATTAGCCATTCACAGAAGGTTAGATAATACTTTCTTTTTTTAGATAAGCTTGTGCTCGAAGTATGTGATTCTATTCAAAGACGTCTCCAAATATTTCAACAGTATAAAATATTGCGGCACATACACGAAAGTATCAAATGGTCACCCATTACTCTTTCGCACTGCTGATCATCTAATCTATAGCAGCGTAATTGTTCCATTTTTTACTTTGATGCAGTAACTGTAGGATCACATCACAACTCTACTCCCCTTATTCCATATTGACCCAACAACACCGTGTCCCAATCATCGTAGGAATCTTTGACATAATGATACATTTCTAGTCAATATTTTCAAGTAGGCAAATGTAAGCACACGGAGGGTGAACACCAAGTTTTATGTAGCTATGTATTGGGATAATTTATAAGTTGAATCTTCCATTTTCTAACCAGTCAATCACAATCCCTAAATTAGCTTCATCTACTTCAGTTTAGTCAGCTATTTTGGAAGATAGTTTTCGCGACAATCGATGGCAACTACAGACATATAATATAGAACATCAATTACAAACTACATATATCTTCCCGTACCACTAAAACAATTAGTCCGTCCAATACATACTTCGAGCGAGATCAGATAAATATTTTTTAGTACATTGGGGTAAACCAGCCTTATTTACTTCAAAGTTTACCCCTCATTTATGATAATACACTTAAATCATTACTCAGGGCATTCTCAAAAGTCCTTAAAAATCAGACCTATTTGCTTCGTCGTTTCACATCTAATCATCCTATGCATGATTATTTTACACTGTGAACGAAACCAAAATACAGGGATTCAAGTCTATCGAGTAAGGAGTGTGACCTAGTTGAGTGATTGGATTGGGAACCTGAAACTTCTAAACAATCACTAACTCAATGTATGACAAAGTTATACTAGGAAAATGTTATAAATGTTTGTGAAACAATTTATTATTCGTCATAAAAAAGAAAACAACTCATGATATAAATATTCAATCAATCTTATGATGATAAGTATTACTATAAACTTATACACTACAATATGGTGATTGTGATTGAGTCTTCAGATACTCTGAAATACATAACTGTATGGAGAAAAAAAACAACAATATAAACACGGGGAAGTAATTGTGACAAAAAAAAAGAACGAACAAAGGAAGGGAAAATAAGTGACTAAATGATATAAATAGGTTGCAAAACTAGAAATGTAAGAAAATAATACAAAATAAGAAATATGTACATTTATATACAAAAAATATGTCCCGGTATTGAAGAATAACGGACTGTTTTTTTCAGACATCTAGAAAAATTTTGAAAGAAAAAGAAAACAAGGAATATATATGACACTGATGAGTTAAGATTGCAACAAAATTATATAAATGTGAAATAATATCAAGCTATTATTCACTATCACAACCTAATCATGAATATAAAGTGAGGTGCTCATGTCAATTATTTTCTATATATATATATATATATATATATATATATATATATATATATATATATATATATATATATATATATATATATATATATATATATATATATATATATATATATATATATATATAATTGAGAAATTAAAAGTAAAATATAACACTACCATAAGTCAGCAGCTGATGTACTAGACACATATTCATAACTCAGTAATTCATCAACAGATGCTCTTTCTAGATGATTTCGAACTAAACTCCGTTCTAATGCCTACAAAAAATTAGAAAATAAACGGTAAAAGAATATAATGGATGTAATAACAATAAGAAAGAGAAGTACCTGTTTAAATGCAATATTCACCATGAATCACGGTCAGCGGAATAGCCCAAGACACAGAAGACCGTGAGATAAAAGGTATAAGGTGCTTGCCGAGCAGCTTGCAAGCTATCAGTTCGATAACGTGTGAATGCATATTATTTAGAACTAGAACGATACGCTCACCCAATGCTCCCCGTGCTTTTCAACGGTCCTCCAACCATTGGTTACGATAGTCACGCAGACCCCAAAAAAGCAGTCTGCATCTACCAACATGGCTACGACTAGAAGTTAGTGACTTCAAGCACTGATGCCACGTTTTGGTTTGGCCGCCCCTAACTTTCTTCCAAACGTCCCCAACAGTGGTTAGCATAGCGTGTCGTGGAAATCGGTGTTCAGGCATATGCAACGCGTGGCCCAACCATCTCAGTCGATGAAGATTCACAACCTCATCAACTGATTTACCATCTTTCCCTAATACCTGATATTCACAGAATGTTGAAACTTAAATAATATCGCTACTGATTAATTGTTCATCAATAAAACTATGTAAGTATCATTAATCAAGTTGCTATTTCTACACTTAATCGTTGGTTAGATTCAATAGGGCGGTGTTTATGATAATCGACACATACGACAACATATATCAAAGTGAACATTCATTGTAAGGTTAAATTAAGTGTTAGAAAGAATAAATTTGAAAATTCGCAATATATATGTGTTGCCTGATAAACAAAGTATTAGGATGTTACATAAGCAAGATTGATTTTGATAAGGAGTTTATACAATAGTTACACCAGTTTTATTATCTATAGTATAAATCTCTAATCAAATCTAACCGTCAACACTGCTGTCGCATGCAATACACAATCTAATCTAAAAACAATGTTAATCAGTTATAATTATCTGATTTTACAATTTCCTTCCCTCACAGTTGACTGATGAATTAAAATTTAACTCTGATCATTATTAATTATTGAAATTCATAGACATGTTGTATCGTCCGCCTTTTTCTATGTTCATACTGACCGTAGACTGAACCATCGAACAATTAATACATAAGCTATATATATATATATATATATATATGGCCGAGAGCGGGGAGAGTCAGCTCTCTCTCCAAACGCTCTCACAGGGCCACGTGCATACAACCACTACCAGGGGAGTCCTACTCACTGCCTCCTAGTGGCGGGGGTGTTGTTTACGAAATTGAGAGGACGAAAAGCGAATGTCCGGCGCTTTAACCCGGGTTGGTGGATATGGAGAGTCCACTTAGGGGAGTCGGTAAACCCTGAATCCAAACCAATGGTGTACATGGGCTGCAGGATCCTGAAGGAATAAATGGCGTATGAACCAATTGTTGGTCACCGGCTACCATGGGACTGCATATATATATATATATATATATATATATATATATATATATATATATATATATATATATAATTTGACCTCGGAAACATAATGCACCAACAAGTAGTTACACTGAAACTTGGTAAATAGAATTCCAACAGTACTAAGAACTAGGACAAGTATGGTATTGTTCACTGTTCAATGATTAATCGACGTAACTACAAATACGCTTGGACAAGCGAAACAATTATAAACAAATATTGACTCTAACCTTAAAAAATATCTCTAGTTATTCTGTTATAGTAATCCAAGAAAAGTGGGTACTACAAGCATTAAAATGAACAAGTTACATTACAATTAATGATAAGATAAAATAGACAGTTCGGAAACATAGACATCTTTTTTCCAGTCGTAGTAGTAATCAAACCATTACTAAAAGAATTATTATCTAACGACTTTAGATAATGATTATTTAAACACGGTTTTATTTGTATTCGAAAGAATCTTATACACAGAATAGACCAAAGACACCTTCTGTTAATTATACTGTTTTTTTTTAAACCAGATAACAACGAAATACAACAACTGTCACATTTACTTACCTTATAAATAGATTTATTCTTGATAGCTGGCAAAGATATTTTTACACTGGGACTTATAATGGCTGATAGACGAGAGTGAAGTTTATCTTGATTAAAAGGTAACTGACCGTAGACCATCATATAAAGGATTACACCTAATGACCAAATATCCGATTTACGACCAACCTATCGTAGTAAAAAAAACTTTTATTGAATATTTAAAAACACGAGAAATCACTTTTATTTATAATATGAAACTGTTCACAAAGATCTGGGACTCGAAGTTCTAGTGAGAAGCCATTAATAGTGGAGTTTAATCAGTAACCGGTGTGTGACAGTTATTCATCTCAGACAACGGATGAAGGGTTGCACAAAATCATGGATCGATTGAAGTTAGATATCCGTTGGATGCCGGATCGGTAGTCTAGAGTTCAGGCGTTCGCGCGCGTGTCCGAAGGTCCTGGATTCAAGACCTGTGTACAGGGTCGTGGATGTGCACTACTAAGGAGTATTATACTAGGCTATCCAGTGCTTCCAGGTTTTCAGTTGTAATCTAGCTTAGATCGACTCGTGAATTAACTATAATTTATTTCACAGATTGAAATCATGAGTCAGTTGAAGCTAGACCACCATTGAAAACCTGGAAGCACTGGACGGCCGTTTCGTTCTAGTATGGGACTTCTCAGCAGTGCGCATCCACGATCCCGCATCACACGGGGCTCGAACCCAGGACCAACTGGCTTCGCGCGCGAGCACTTAACCCCTAGACCACTGAGCCGGCATCCAACGGTGTTAATGTCTAACTTCAACCAACTATTTTTATTATTTACAATCTATTTCATGTTCAATTTTTCTTGAAATAATCACGTCGAACATTGGTAATGAAAACTACACAAATGAACGTCTATAACCAACAAATACAGTTAAGATTTATTGAGTTACATAATTATTTCTTTTTAAGCTGCAGTTACATATCATAGATGACTAGAAATTATCAACTTCAAACATCAATTCCACTTCGATGAGTTGACTTCCTTCTCATCATATCAAAAACTCGAGAAATCATTTGAAGTAATCGCTAGCGTATGCGAAGTGGAGTGAGTACGATCAGTTATGTAATATCTAGGATTTCCAATCATTTTTTTCGTACGCTTAGTGTATGTATATAGCCATGCTCTTTACTAGGGATTTCATTTCAAACATAAAAGCTATCTACGTATATACTGTAACGTATTCCAACTTACCGGATGAAAAATAGCAAATAAAGTGAAAGGTAAAACTCGAAATGAGATCGTGTGAAAATTATGCTCTTACATTCACCAATCACACGCTAAATGAACGGAAAATACTTGAAATAGCACACGTATCGAACACTGAACGGGTGTGCTTTAAGTTTACGGACACAATGTAGTGGCTTGGTTTTGTTAATCAATCACCTTGATAACCGTTATTATACGAATCCCAACAGTGTTTGAAATCCGCATTCCGTCAATTGAAGAATCAGAATCTTCAATGCGAACGTCAAGGTAGTTCTACTGAACGGAGCTGAAACGTAGAGAACTACCACAACCATTATCAAAAAGGTACAAGTATTAATAAACAGTTGTCTACGCAAGATACTCAATGTTCGTTGGTCGGATACCATCAGCAACAACCTACTGTGAGAGAGAACAAATCAACTTCCGGCTGAAGAGGATATTAGGTAAAGACGTTGGAAGTGGATAAGACACACATTGAGGAAATCATCAAACTGCACAACAATATATGCGTTAACTTGGAATCCTGAAGGGAAACGAAAAAGACCAAAGAACACACTATGTCTGGAACAGGAAGCAGACATGAAAAGGAGCAATAGCAACTGGAAAGGACTGCCCAGGATAGAATCGGATGGAGAATCCTGGTGAGCGGCCTATGCTCTCCCATAAGGAGTAACAGGAGTAAGTAAGTAAGTACGCTGTCCTGTGGATAGAGTTTTATGAGCTTAGATGGACATAAGGGCAGGGTAATTAATGAAAATATTTCGATTGTGGTGTGTAATTTACTGGTACCATTTGTTTACACTAATACAATATGAAATATAATATGTCCTGCATTTCAGAAATACTGGAATCTTTTGGTTTATAATTCAGTTCCCTAATGTTCTAACCAACGAAAAATTTGTTTTTATGGTGATAATATAATACTTTGATACGACTAAAAAATGAGTTGAATGGTGACAGCTTGATACTTAAAACAGTAGTAGGTCGCTAGGTTCTATAACTAACCCTACATCATCTACTTGGGTCTGGAGAAACGGGTAGTATCACTAGCTCACATAACTGTGGGTGATCATTTAAAATGGCGCAGATCCATTAACTTTTGGTATATCTTCAAATCATGAGATCAAAATTTATCTCACATGTTTTATTTCATAAATTTATTCTTTCTTCGCAAATCACATCATCCGTTTATTCTTTTTGTATTAACCTTTTAAAAACTACACTGTTACTTATTCTGATCATTTGACTTTACTGTGTTGATGAGATGGTAATATGGAGCAATGCGCACATGCATCAGATTCTATGTTGCTTATAACTAACCGAGTAGCACAATAATGTGGCTAAGAGCCACGTATTTTTGTATTCTTCGCTGATCAACAGCTCAGCAGTACAATTTCCAATATTTTATACTAACTTGAAAGGTTTCACTATAAAATTAAAATTGTGAAAAAGAGAATACGAATGCAGAATGCAATCTATATCAGAAAAGCAAACTCTGATGATAGAAATATCTCCATGAAATAAATGCATTATTTGGAAACAACAAAAAACAACCTTAAAACGATCTTCTTGGTCAACTTTAGGACCAAAGAAAAACGACTGATTTAGGCTAGATGAGGATGAAGGAGTAGCAGCAGCTTCTTCCAACTGTTCTGGACTCATGAAAGATAATGTTCCCAACTTTAGCCAATGGATTACAGTTGTTGAATCATCTGGTAACAAACGACTAAGCCCTAGATCAATAAGCTTCAACTGTCCATAGACAAGAACAAAATTTTGTGGTTTTAAATCTAAGTGAACAATACCTAGAATGAGTAGAGAAAAAAATAATCAAGATAAAAAACACTTAACAGAAGTAATCATTATTTTGGATTTACATAAAATTATCCAAAGTTTCATAAAATAAATAAAAATGAAACTAAGCAATGAATTGGTCATGCCAAAGAATTTATTACTATTGAATTTATGTAACAGTGAATGATAATCAAAGGATATCACAATATAAAACTACTAATTTTCGAGGTTAGTTAAATAGTACTTTTAAAATAAAATTGTACATTTAGGTATTCACACGTATGGAAAATTACAGATTCCCAGAAGCGAATCTATGAAATTATTGGTTGTAAACGGAGAGTAAGAGAAAAGTTTTAAACTTGGTTAGCTACTAATTAGTGAATTAGCTTGTATTTTTAATAAACAAAAAACAAACGGTTGTTTTTATTTTATTTTCAGATACCTTTTAATTCGTTTGCATTTGTTATATCTTTAGAAATTAGTGAACTAAAGTCAGTCAACTATAAACTTGTTCGGATTAGAACTCTTCTCGATATTTTGTCTAGATCTAGTTAGATATTGTTATGCATATCCACGATAATTTTAATCCGGTACATTTTCTCCTTATTATACGTTCTGCCGAAAAACTACATTGCAACAAGATATTAACAATAAAAATAAACTTACGACGATCATGAAGTGCTTTCACACACCGCAACATTTGATCCCAGTAGAATACAATCCCAGATGAAAGCATACCTGATGGTGAACGAGGCGATTTTTTTGCATCAGACCAAAAGCTAAGAATTACACTTTTCAAATCACAATCTCCTTTCTCCATAACAAGTATGAGATTTTCTGATGTACAGTGACTAAACATTTTTGAAAAAGAAATTGTAAAAATTTTAAATATCAAGACAATAAATGTACGATCAGCTTATGTTAAAAAGATGAGAAAACACAGAGAATCTAACTTGAAAGTTCGCATAGCTTTGAGCAGATTCGCTCTTGTCCAATAGTATATAGTGAAGGGGAGTTAGAAAACAAAATCTTATAAAGACTGGATTCCTTAAATACAGTACAAAACGGGCAGATTGATTTTAAACGGGAACAAATAGCTCTTACGATTAATATTCGAAAATTAATGGTAAGATGTAAGTAAGGGACCACCACTTAGGTCCTAAAGCTTCAGATGGATTAAATATTTGAATTTCCCAAGCCAATGAGTAGTAAACTAAAATAAATTCGTTCACCGGGTACTTGGGTTTAAGGTGTACTCTAATTGTGAGGGCTAGTGATATATTACAGCTGCCCAAACCAGAGTGCAAATTTTGTAGGGTTTCGTTTATCAATCACCGTTATTAAATAAATTCAAACGCTGTATGAATTCAGAAGGCAATACGTAGTGGCGGCTAAAGTTTATTATTAAATATTACAGACAACAAAGTTACAAACACACTGAGCGAATTGGAGCAGACAGGCGAATGCGCGCGAGCAGGCGAATACAGACGCGGATTCAGAGTCAAATCGAATTGACGCGAAACGAACTAAGCACACATATACATGGGAAAGAGAATGATTCATTGGGCGATATTTAAGCTAGAGGGAGATATGTGCGTAGGCTGTCGAATGTGACCAAGCATACACATTTATACAGACATGATGGTGATCATAATAGTACAAATATAGACTGTTCGAATAACACTGTTTGTTAAATAAGTTAATTGAAAGTCTTGACAAAGTTAACCGTAAACAAAATTAATTGTAGGAGCCTAAGACTTAATAGCTAAAAGTCGAACACCTTAACCAATAAGTAAGCCACAGGCCCAATTAAAGGAACGCCATGTGATAGACAAGCAGGGATCTATATTACTTCACATAAGATGCATCTTACAAATAAGAATTTAATGAATTCGAATTTTCGATTAAAATATCTCGTTTTACTTTTAAGACACAGAAAAGTGATTTATAACTTACTAATCATATAGTCGGATAATTCTGTCGGAATTTATCAAACTTTTAAGCATCTCAATCTCATTTATATACGACGTAACTGTTTCTTGTGTAAGATTTTTCAAATCAACTTTTTTCACCGCCCATGAATTTAAATCGGAGTCCATAGCCCAATACACCTAGGAGTGAATGAAGCAGAGATGATAATTATTTTTTCGCAAATTTATAATACTGACGAATTCTGTTTTTCTTATATCCTTGCTCATATTGTAGCAAACGAAGACTTGATCGGAGATAACCAATTTATTGTTTAGTACAAGATTACAGTATCTTCGTGAAATATAAAAATACATTATATACATCATTTGCAAATCCTCCATCAGTCGTCTCCTACAAACTTTATAATACCTCCATTCCTGTTGTTGTTTTAATTACTTTGAGTTTTATTCTCTATTCTCTTCATTTCAATCATCTGCTTGCAGACATCCCACTTCTGACTGGTGCTGTATACTACTTATATCTGCCAACATAAGTAGTATACACCACAATATTATATTGATTAAGCACTAATAATATATAATATTTAGTAACAGAAGTGGAGTAATATTTCAATGTAAAATAAAACTTAAAAAGTGTTCCCCTTTTGATTAACTTCAGTGTATAGTTAGTTGATGCTAAAAAATACAGATTCTTACTAACTCCTGACATGTTTTATCTTGACTACTCTCGTTGATGATAAGAAGGAAATAAAAAGTAGGATACCAATAGTATAAAAGAAATGTATATTTTGTCTCCGTTCATGCAAACACACTATAATCATGAATAGATGAACGTGGCGTGATCTTTGACAAGTTGGATTTCAATGTCACTTAAACAGAATATAAGTCTTCTCACCTGATTTCTACGTAAGCTTTGATCTAGAGGATGTGTTAGATCTATCAACAGACCATGACAGAATAGTTATCGATCATGAACTCCGTGGTTAAGCCATTTGAAAGAAAAGTACACATAAATAAGACAGGTAAATGTTGAACCAACTACTTACCACTGATGAACCTCCCCGTCCCAATTCATTAATTACTTGATACTTTTTACCATTAACAATAATAAATTGTTCACTTTCATTGACCAGCTCAGTTTGCACACCGACAGAAATCAATTTCGTATCCTAAATAATAAATTGAGGTGATTAAAAGACAAAAGCATTGAGTCGCTACCAGACGTTTAAGTTGAAAAAACATCAAATGAATAAAGTAACTAGAATGGATCTATCTACTCATATGTATCGCAGAAACGCAGAAAACAGTGCTCACAAAGCTGCGGTTACACAACTTCTAAGGATATCGCCTAAATATTTGGTCAAATGAAATTTTTGTACTTTATAAAACGAACTGAAGACCAGAGAGTATTGGACAGTAACATTAATGTATAGTGATGGCCTTAATAAAGATACAGCCTATGACGCCAAGTTTCTTGAATGATTATTGAGTAACAGTACTTAGACTAAATCACTTTATATATTCACATATATCGGTTTCAATGAAGAGTAATGAAGCGACGAAGTTTTTTGGTACGGCTGATTAGTGACTGTATGGACACAGTAGTTCAGTGGATAATTAATTGCTTATTGAAACGAAAGGCAATATGTTCAAATCGATACTGAAATACAGATACACCCAGCTGACGATTCTCAAGTATAACGAAAGGTGTGTCACGAATTCCACTGTTGACCACTACTCAACTTTACTGAGGTGTTGAGACTAAATGTCAATATCGAGGCAATCCGCTTAACATGAACATAACCCGAAAAGACTAAGGGATTTCAGCCCGCAACATAAACAAAATACACACCCGTACAAATATGATAGTACAGATTTCCTAGATTTCTTTGTAATCTAAAAACTTCTAAGATATAGTTTTTGATACATCTAATACGAATATGTATGTGGAACGTAATTGTCGATCATGCAACAAAGAGAAGTTAAACTTGCTATTACAGCATATAATATACGAAAAACTATGTATCATAAAAAAATGGGTACGTAAAAAAACAATAAAAATCCACTGAAAAACTACGAGGACACCAACGCTTGTCAAACTTTCAAGCTGTATGAAACTATAAGATCATGAATTTTGAAAATACATAATTTTAAATGGCTGACTAAGTGTTTAATTAAGGTGTTTGAATGAGGTAAAATGTTAAGTTGACACATTTCCAATTTGCCAAGTTAAATAATTTTTTTTTAAATTGCCATACAGTCAATCAGTCAGCCATAAGCAACGTAAAACTTGGCATATATACGTATCCGTTCAAGTTGCCACATCATATTAACATGACGAGATGAGATCATCAAGGCAAGTACCAAAAACTACAAGTAGTAACAGACTCAGTGGTAGTAAAAAACAGTAGGCAAGGACGAAGTGGTCCAGGGAGAATAACTTCATAGAATAAGAAATATAAAATAATTTAAAAACTTAATATCTGATGGGATATAAAGGAGTGCCTCAGAGACATTGCAACTGATTCTGAGTAAAGCCACTGTAACGTAGTAGCTGCCGCCTACTAACATACCTCAATTCAATAGTCAATGATTTCATAGATTGATGCCACATTTTGGTTTGGCTACCCCCTAGCTTTCTTCCAACTTGCGCCTACATCAAGAAAACTAGCGAATCACAAAACGTATGTAGCAATTAAGATTATACACGGTTAAACATACAATTAGTTAATACATCCTACACACATTTTTCCGCACTATACTAGTCATACAATAAGGAAAAAACATACCGAATTAAACGGAAATACCTTTTGGCAACTTCCAATCAATTTAATCGAACCAACAATGGTGGATAGTTCAGGCTGTTGTAATGATTCCATATGTGGATTACTTGTGACTGAAGCAGATAGTATAGAGAGAGAGAGAATGAAAGGAGAAAAGATTAAGTTATGAATAAAAGAAAATAAACAGTGACATTTAGGGGATAAATGACTATATTAAGATCAGAAATTAATATATTTGAAACAGTGTAGCTAAGATGGATCATCCAATGGTATATATGTTACTCAAGATCAGCGCTATTAGTTTGAAATAAGAAACATAACCATACGAGTGAATTCAACAGAAAAAATTCAAAATAACACATACAGTGGAGGATAATGTTAGAAACCTCGGTGCACACATATCATCGAAAACATATGGCACAGCCACAACAGTAAAATCTAATTTCTCCATAAATAAATAAAAAATGCATGTATTCGGAACATTGGTAATAAATCTTAATCCCAGGTCTCTTTAGTCATTGATTTTATCAATTCTCAAAGTTGGGCGCTACAGAGTAGACGATGTTTGTGTTATGACTTATGACTCTGTTAATTAATCAGAATATCGATCTCTATGAATTTGTCCCTATGCTAAACCAATGCACGCCAACAAGTACTAGCAGCCTTGAGTCAACTCGGAATCTTTATTGGTCCTCGATATTAGTAGCTTATCACCTAGACATGCCCATTGAGTCCAATATTCACCTCCCCCGCCATATGAATCGTATATTACAGACATACGTGGTTTATATACAAGCAGACCAAACCTCATCATGCCATAAAATGAAAAATATCAATTATATAAAATCAAGCTAAAAATGACTGTGAGTATAGAACACTTTTACTAATAGGTTGGGAATAAATCACAAACGCTAAATCGTATAATAGTAGCCAATGAGTCAAATGAAGGCTTGTGACAAAAGAAGCATGGACACATATATGATCTATTTACTTAACAACTATCCAATAAGAATATATATAACAGTTCATAAGCAATTCCTAGCAGTTACCATTCTGTTATTCTTCGTCCGGACATAACAGTTTGTCACACAAATTACATTATCAATTGCTAATTTAATCGATTCCTTGGTTGGATTTTAAGGGGATTGGTTTAACTTGTTAACCGTTTGCTGCAAGACCTGACGGTCCTAGGTTCCATCTTTGGGGGGACTGTGGGTATACACTGTCCAGGTGTATTATACTAAGATGAGATGGTTATGAAGTGCTCCTTAGTTTTCAATGGTTTATCAACTGAGATTATTATATAACGGATAAAACACACCAATTGATTAGTGCCATCTTGATTTATTTTCACTAAGGTTTTGAAAAACCTGCTTTCAATGAAATTTGCACAACAGACTAAGGCGCGTATATATATATATATATATATATATATATATATATATATATATATATATATATATATATATATATATATATATATATATATATATATATATATAGGTTACATCTAGTTTACCGCCGAAAATTGAAAACGGGTAAGAAATGAAACATTTGTAGCACGTTATTTTAATCGATGTGAGAATAATCAATTCGACGATAGATTTATAAAAGCGAGCTCAGACTAATGCACCTGTGGACATCCGTAACATACCTTAGCTGCCACCGAGTTTATTAATAATTACCAGGAAAACCAAATGAAAACTTTTAAAAGTGGAAGAAAACGCCAAATATATTTTAGATTACAGTTATGATAACTACACAAAATTCGCTAATCTAATTTCACAAGCAAGAAATTGATCAGCTACCTTTTCGTAGTGAGACATGAACCTATTATCACTATATCTGCTTAGTTTAGCATTAAAAAGTAAGATGAAAATATATATTCAAGTGTCGAGATTTTCTTTGTCAGTCTGGCAAATTGTTTAATGAGGTAGTGCCTTCACCGATTTAGATTTTTGGAAGATGGATCACATAAAACCAATTCTCTCCAACTTTAAAAGTTTATGTTTACTGGGGTAGGAGTGGGTTGGTAGAAAGCTAAGGGCGACGAAACCAAAACGTGACATCAGATCATGAAGCTACAGACTGGTGCTGGACAGAACACCTGACTGGAGGGTTGGCGTACTTATTGTAACCAGTGGTTCCCAAAATAACCCTTGACTTCGCCCTGAATCCCATCTAGTAAAGCCAGGTACAATCTGCACCAAGAACAGGTATTTTCTGTAATTTAGCTTACACACTGTCATATTCTCTTGTGTTGTGCAATTTCGAAGATTTTCAGGATCAAATATAGACAATTTTTAATTGGTTTATAATAAAAATCCAAGCGACTGTATACAGCTCTTTCAATTTCGTGCCAAAAATTTAAGAGGCACTATCATAATTCTGATTTGTTTACTGAAGACATCAGCATAGTATAAGTTCGCTTCTTGTGCTTTTCATTCCACGCACTTTTTCGTTCTCAATTCATATCGTTCATGCCTAACGTTTTCTAATACCACTCATGCTGTTACCACTTTGACTATTCTAGTAATTGTCTTGAGAATTCCATTTAGCTATGCTGATGTGGTAACTTGGACAGACGCGTGTGCCAGGTCCAAAGTTATTTACGAGTGGCTGACTGACATAAGAATGTAACGCCAAAACAAGAAGCTAAATAACCTCAACTAAGCTATGTAAAATACAAAACACTGGACTGTATCGTCGAATCCTAGACTGTGAAGTTTATATGATATATAGAATGTGAACTATAAGCCCGACCTGATGACCGAAAACGTAAAGGAGTACAAGAATAAAAGAATAATTTACCTGAAGTAACTGACGATTCTTCTGGAAGCACTGGTAATTTGAGGGACGAGGGAAAATTATATGAATCCTGAAAAATTAAGGGAAACACTTTTCATACGTTTTCTGAAAAATAAGTCCCAGATGTTTGTTACTCATCATGAACATACAAGTTCGCCTTGCTTTAGTGTCAGACCCTGAATATGAAACAAAACATTAAAAAATTCTATAAAAACTGATGACAGGTTGATATCTGGTTTCACGGGGTTTCGTTGAACCACAGATTTATCATTCACACACACAAAGACATGGTAAAACAAAACATTAGTCAAAATAGACATGATTTTGGGAGGACCTAACGAAATAACTTCTATGTCGAAAATTGATAAGAAATTGTTTTCAAAGTTACCAATTTCTTATACGAATATTCGTCGATATTAGAACGAACAGTTTGATAAAAATAGGCTGAAGAAGTTCAGACAAGTTTGCTCGATGAAACGTTGGGATTATTTAAATTTTAATCAGTGAGATTATTTAGAATATAATTTTCACGTATAATGTCTTTACTAATTTCTTTCTATTAGTTTAAGATATATTTCAGAGTAAGACATAGTGGAGATAAATTATTGTTTCGTTAATTAAAATATAGGGGAAATAAGGTTTAGGACCTTCTTTAATGAACCTTATATGATTATTAATTGCCATGGTGCAGCTGGTGGTAATCCAACTTTTCTCAATATTTATTACTACTGAACGTGTCATTTTAATTGATTCATGATATACATACAAGAACATTGTTATTCAAGTTATCATTCAATCCATTCAAACATTGAAAATAAAAATAATTAAAAAAACATCTATATTCATTTGGTCGAACTCCCATGATTTTTTCAGGTTGTAGTGGCTGTGCTTCGTTGACCACCCTCGTAACCGTTATCACGTAATCCTCAACGGTGTTTGAAATCAGAAGGCAAAGAGAAGCAGCGACTACAGTTTTATCAGCTGATAACTCAGGCCATAAAGCAGTGAGGCAAATGAATGAGTCAGCGAACTGAGAATGCAGAGTGTAAATATATATATAGGGAAATAAATGGATCATCAAATCAATTGGGCAGCTAATAATAAAGCTAGCAGAGTGAATATATGCGTAGGCGGTAAGCAATATTCAAGCATACATATTTCAAACAAGCACAACAAATAATAAAAGGTACAATAAGTTGTTATAGTATGGATGACTTTGTCCGCTAAATAAGTTAACAAAAGGGTTTGACTGAGTTAAATGAGAACAGACTCAATTGTATGTGAGTTGCTACAATGTACATCTTATAACCTACCCTGGATGGACGAGTTATTTGTATTGATTCAACTGCATTACAATTATTAAGATAGTTTGGTGAATTTCCATTCGGTTCAAAATTGATATCTATCACAGACTGAGAACGTTCTTCTGTGTGACTAGAATAAATTTACGAAGGAAAATATTTCAATGATCAAAACATTTCCACGGGCTTAAAAGAAATCTGTAAAACTAAAAAAATCCATCAGATGCTGCTTAATTGATATTCTTAAAATGAAATATGAAGTATCCTGTATGCAAGTATCCATTCGGAAAAACATCGAATGTACACATGTACGAACCAATCAGTCTAAAGTCTAACCACCGATTCAGAATTTGTGAACTTGATCTATTAATTTTCTGATTCGATATAATTGAGATATAAACTAGCAACTCTGGTAAAATGACCTTATACACGTTCTCGACTGAAAGGAATCAAGAATTGCAAATATATCATAGGAAGTTGTATTCGGCTAATAGGAACTTTGCAATAACTATACTGATTTCTAATATACAGGGTTAAATCAATCAGTCAGTTATAATCAACGTAGAACCAGGCATACCATATTATAATGGCTAGATGAATACTAAGAGAAAACAAAATGATGTGGTAGAAATGGTAATTAGAAAGACTGAACATTGGGAATATCCTTTGGAAAGACAGAATGGAAACGTAAGTATGGAAAAATACTGGAATTCAAAATGAAGAGGAAGATAGGGAGTGAATGCACTGTGTCACAGTTAATCATGCTGAAACATGTTACCCAAAAACATAAGGCTTAAACAACATTAAAGAGACCAAAAACAATGATTGGTGCAGAATGATAAGAATTCACTTCATTTTGTTAGGTTCTCATCGTCTATATTATTATATATACAAAGGTGATTAGAGATGAATATGTGTATTATAGTGAAGCGAATATTCCAATAGAGTTGATAAGGTCATAAAAAAATCTTAAATAAATAAAGTGAAGAGGGAGATATCAGAACACCAAAGTAGTGATTAGGATTCATAGCGTTAACAAACATTGGATGATTGTGTAGTGAGGTAACTGTAAACATATTAATGGTAATAAATGAAATCAATCAGTTCAAATGAAAATTACGAATTAAAGAAAAATGGCAGTAATTAGAACTTGAAAGAGTTGAAATAATGAATAATGCAATAAAAAAGATGTAATGTTACCGGGACAAAGAAAGACTTATTACTGTTTCTTTTTGGACACAGATCTGGCTTATGACGTAAAGTCCTTTTAAAGGGCAGGTATCACAAAAAAATATAATTCTGATCACTCATACATGATTTTACGAATTAATACAGCTTAGTAATTAAGTGAATAAACTAGTATAAAAATTTAAACTAGAGGTATTACCTGAAAAACTAAATGAAAATAGGTGAGGATGAGTTCAAACACAGATCATTAGTTCATAGAGAATGTTAAAACAGATAAGCCACTATTGTGCACACCACAAGTTATTAAGATGAGATTCTATGACCAATATTTTTAGAAAAATAGGCAGCAACTATACTAAAGTAGATAAATACTTTGATGTGGTACAACTTATGTTGACAGAAATCGAATAAGTTGGTTAGTACTAGGTTATATACAAGTCATGAATGAAGTGATTAAATGCGAGGCCCTTTATTAACATATCGATTATGATTATTTTTGTGACGAAGCTCAGGCCACATTTCCGACCGAGACATTGAGACTACTTAACCTCCGATGCTGAGATCCTTACGAATATAATTCACCCAACGACTTACATGCTTAAAAGTTCAACAACAACTTGCTATGTATTAATTTGGCTGGAATCTGATTTCTTCTTGAGAACCTCTCTTACTAATTATCTGATCGTAAAGCCCCTAAATGCCCTGGTACGGCCGAGAGTGGGGAGAGTCCGCTCACTCTCTTGAAATGCTCTCACATGGCCATGCGTACATAGCCTCTGCCAGGGAAGTCCTACTCACTGCCTTCTCGCGGTGGGGGTGTTGTTTACGAAAGTGAGAGGACGAAAAGCGAATGTCCGGCTCTTTAACCGGGTTGGCGAACATGGAGAGCCCACCTAGGGGAGTTGGAAAACCATGATTCCAAACCAATGGTGCACCTTGGCTCCAGTATCCTGAAGGAACAAGTGGCGTATGAACCAATTGTTGGCCACCGGCTACCATGGGACTGCATTTCCTTACGATACTCCACTGTCTTGTGAACCAGACCTTCAGGCCGAAGGCTCCGGGCGTGGCCCCTTAAGAAAACCACGGGCTTCGGTTTGGGCACCTGAGCAGTATCACAGCCCTCACACAATTCAAATAAGATTTGTGTGGCTCATATGTATTTGGTGCCTCCTTGTAGCAATATCTATGTGTTCAAACAATAATAATAAGAAGAAGAATAATACTATTATTATTATCGTAAGATACAGAAAGCTAAGCTGCATAGATGGACTGATACTACGACAGTATTCACTAAAAGGATGGGCTTAGTACCACACATGTGATAATATGGAATGTTTAACTTTATCGTAGACATGCGTTTGGAGATAACACTCTCCTCATCTAAATTTCCAGGGGTTGAACTTCTACCGGTAGGTTCACTTGTTGACTTAGAATATGCTGATGACATAGTTTTATTTGGTGAAGACGCTGACAGAATGCAGTCTTCTGACCACTCTAAGCAACAATGCAAGCATGTTCGGGATGCGATTCTCCCCCTCGAAATGCAAAATGTTGCTTCAGGATTGGGTTGCATTGACACCCGAACTAATGATAGGGAGTGAAGTAGTTGAGCGTGTCGACCGCTCCACTTATCTTGGGAGTCTCATCAGCCCTTGTGGTCTGGTGTGTGATGAAATCTCAGAACGGATACAGAAGGCTCGACTAGCTTTTGCCGACTTGCGTCATTTATGGCGTAGGTGAGATATACATCTACCAACCAAAGGACGGGTTTACTGCGCAGCAGTTCGTTCCATCCTCCTTTATGGCAGTGAAACATAGCCGGTAAGAGTAGAGGACATTCGTAGGTTACTAATATTTGATCATAGGTGTTTTCTAAAAATTGCTCGTATATCCTGGAACGATCGAGTAAGTAATGTAGTTGTTAGGAAACGGGTACTAGGTAAAGATGGCAAATCAATTGATGAAATAGTGAAACTTCATCAGTTGAGATGGCTGGGACACGTGTTACATATGCCCAACGACCGACTCCCTCGACGTGCGATGTTCAGTGGTATAGGAGTAGGTTGGAAGAAAGCTAGGAGCGGCCAGACCAAAACATGGCACAAGTCCATGAAGTCACTGACAAGTGGACTGAGCCATGTTGGTAGGTGTAGACTACCTGGTTGGGGACCGCGAGATGATAGCGACCGATGGTTAGAAACGCTGAATGACATGGCTTAAAATCGTTTGCAATGACGCAGGTGCATCCACCTTTTGTGTTCTCCCAAATTCTAATCTTCTGAATTCTTCATGTCTTTTTTTCCTCTTTTCAAATTTATTTCATTGGATTATACTCCTTGAATAACATCTTTAAACCCTAATGTTTCCGATTACTGCTTATACTCTCACCACCTCTACCACTATGGGATTTGAATCGACTGCATCTCTGCTAATGTGGAATGGCAACTTGAACTGATGTACGTACGTACGAAGTTCTACGTTGTTACTTATTGATATGGAATGTTTAGAATTCCTAAAGTGGTTAACATAGACTTACTCATTTGGACAAGTAGAATCCAGAATTGAAGAAACTTCACTTGAACTTGCCTGAGAACAATTTATATCTAGTTGAAATAATCAATTATTACCTACCATAAAAATCTCACCTTGAATATAAAAGTCTGGTTCGTAATAAAATGGTCCTAATAACGATTTGAAATCATCGTCTGTATCTAGCATACTTTCGGCTCTACACAACAATTCCACCCCACATATGTCTACACACTTTTTTGTAGAGTTTAAAAGACTTTTAGCTCTACTTTTATCTCCTGGAAATTTTAATGAGCTAATAATAATCAAATACTTACCTTGTTTAGAATAATAATAAGCTACAGCCGCAATCAACTGTGGATTTCGACGTCCATTTATAGAACATAAGCTCAGAAATGCAGGACCACAGTCCGAATTCCTAAGTTTAAATTATAACTAGAATAAATAACTTACTCGTATGATGCTAAAACTGCTGTTCTGATAAAAATTGTAAGATAAATTTCATCTGACCAATTCACCTCTAATGACTAGCATACAAACGTATATATATTGATGTATTAACTTACATCTACAGCACTTTTATATAAATTTAAAAGTATGTTAGTCGCTGTTGACTCCAGATCCAATGATCTAACTTTTCTTTCCATATGATTGAGAAAACTGAACCAATCATTACAAGATTTTATATTTTTAGGGTCTTTAGAAGAAGAAAATGAAAATCAGCAACTTACAAGCTTTGAAAATTGCTATCTGCAAATCTCGCGATACATTTGGAAGTAGCATCATACGCTAATTGATTTGTTACTGTAGTGAACGGAGTGAAAAAATATTTATTTCTAATTTAGACCTGTAATAAGAAGCTTAACGTGTGATCTCAAAAGAAAAATATATTATACAAGTTTCTCTATCAATCGAGTACTTGAGCAGTCATTCAAAAAGTGTGACTAGGTTCGAGCAGTCAAACCAAATTAAAAGAGTAAGGAATCGAAAAGACTAATATAAAAAGAAATATAATACTAGAGTATATGATATATATATATATATATATATATATATATATATATATATATAACTTGGATAGTTGCCTGCACCTTACCACATAGCTCAAAAAATAGTCCATGATACGACAAACTGGTGACACTTCGGTTTGGTCATCTATAACGGTCTTCTAATATAATTCGACATTGCCAGTACACTGAGGTATGTAATGGCTAAGCATGCGCAACAAGTGCGTACAGACCTAAATTTGCGCTGCTTACAACACATTGAGGGAACAGTATTAAAAGTGTACTAAATGTTACTTTATTTAACAGTGGTTTTACATTGCATTCGAAACAAGTTACCATATGGAATAAGACAAACAACTTTTGTAAATGAAGAGCGTTATCTCTTTTGTGTCAAGTCTGCGACGATAATAGAGGCGTTAAGTTTAGCAAAACTAAACTATGATAACAATCAAATCGATAAAGTCTAAAATGCCATAAGAACAAAGTAGTATGACTCCAAATGAAATCATAGCTGAACCACAAAAGGGAAAATAAACTAGCGATGACGTTGTAAATGGCAGAATGGAGCTGCAACATCACAGAGCGCATGGCCACGTCTCAAACAGCAAGACCAAGATCAGAAACATAATGCACACGGTGGGACGAAAGCATATGTGCGGCCTCGAGCGATTTCACAAGTAGAATGCCAAACGGTTGTTGGGTTCGAAATGAATAGATGTAAAAGTTAAGAGTAAGGGAATAAAACTACGTTTAGTGTTTTATTCACGAACTGACATTACATCTACTAAAAGAATACTTTTTAGCCATAATAGTTTCATTTTTCAGTAGTTCATGTAAGGCTGGTAACATGTTGTTGAGAGCTATCTTGAATTCTTTGTCTGTCAATATCTCGAAAGAAGGACGTATTAAACCTTTTTAATGGTGTTTCTCCGATTGTCCAGTGTTTCAATTTCATCTTGGCCACAACCAGGTGGTGATCTATAGCTACGTCCTCTCCTCTCTTGGTTATCACGTCTTCTGGAGTTTTTAGTGATACAAATATGATCTATCTGGTTCTCCGTAGTGTAATACAGTGAGACCCATATAGCTTTGTGTATGCGTTCGTGGGGTAATATAGTGCTACTCATAAAAATTTTGTTGAAAGCACATAGATTTGCAAATCTCTCGCCATTCTCGTTCCTTCCTTCCAGTCCATGTCGTCCCGTGATATCTTCATACTTGATGTTATCTATTTCGGCTATGGAAGTTAGATCTCTCATCAGGATGGTCAGATACTTTTCTGGGTACTTCTATACGATCGACTGCAGCCTCTAATAAAACTGGTTTTTATCGTCTTCATTGCTATCATTGTTAGTGGTATAAAGGACGATTTACACTATTTTTTCCTCCCATACGTATATTACAATAATATGTTAATAATCACGTTATACCAAAATCAGGATTCGCGACTCAAAATAGCAAACCAAATTAAAACTAGAGAATACCTTATTCAATACAATGACAAGCGGTCACACACGGTGATTCCTGAGTGGAAATCCATGATAAAAGGAAAATCACATATTTAGTAGACCGTGGGCTGTGGTTGTTTGTCTATGTTCAACGACTAACTCTAACTATATTTTCACTACCACATCAGTTAGGTGCATAGAACTGGGTAGCATCCACTGTAATCCCCTTTGTTTTGACGATATTTCGATGACCGTGGATTCATGAGATTCCCAACCTATATGTGTTCGTGCTTCTTTCGACAGAATCAGCACGACTGCTCGTGTGAGAAGTATTTTCTTCTTCATAACCAGAGTACAACAGCATTTCCAGAATCTGTCCTTTTCTGTTTAGCTTGGGTCTAATGGGTTTTACTTAATCTGAGCATCGTCAATTTGTATCTTCTCGTTTCCGTAGCTATTCGAATAGTCAACCCGATCTCCCATGATGTCCGGACATTCCAAGTGCCTACATTGAATGTTGCTCTGGTTATCAGAAGGGACACAAGCCTCGCTACTTCCGAAGAATTTCGGCTTTCACCATGAGGTGTAATTTTTCTTAGTGGAAACCCTCCAACTCCCATTGCAGAGTTTAAATGGTTTAAATTGTCTTCTTCCGCCTGTAGACCTGGGGTTAATGAGATTTAAGCCCAGGCGAAGAAGGGTTGGGCATGGGATCAGCAACCCGTGCAGTAGAAAAAAACCTCGATAAAAAGCGTTTGGGTACAGCTTAGAAAACCTAAATTTAAAGACTTTAAGAAAAGCAGATCTTTGATATAGACGAAAACTTCCTATGGAAAACAAGAGACCATCGTTTAATAGTTCCAAAAGTAGGCAAACAGACTAACGCCAATCGAAAGACATTTATGTAAAAAATGGATTTAAGAACTAACAAATAACATTTGAGGATTTAGGAAAACCTTTGACATTGGGGGTGAAAGTAGATGACATTGATTCATATACGGGTTAGTCATTCTAAACGAGTCATCAACGACCGTATGTTTGCAATTTACAAGTAGTCCTTACCAAAAGTAATAGTGGAGTGATGTGCTAATAACTAATATATTCGCCATATTCCGGGGCAAAATACAGTATTATAAAGTGAATAACAACTTTGAGTTGCTCAATATCAAGGTTTTGTTAGTTAAGATCTGAAGATGAATCAATTGGTTGCCTTTGTCGACTATCTCACACTCGTTAATAAAGTTGTAAACATATACTAAACCTCAAAATAATGACTTACAACCCAAGTAAAGTACGCTAAGCGCCAAGTTTTGGCGCGATGCTTTTACAAAGGACTTTAGCATGATCGAAGAATTACAATATCCTAAGTAATAACATCCAACCAAACAACGTAAATGTGATACCGTTTTCATACGTTTGCAGTACACCAGGGTGATTGTCAACAACAAACATTATTAATGAAAAACTGATTTTTGTCAGCTTCAATGACAGGTTTGTAGACGTTCTAACACGGAAGTCTGTGGAATTGTAGAGCTCCCGGTAGGATCTACAGCATTTCATAGTAGTATTTAGATTAAATTATTAGATGTACCCTAGCGATTAAGGAAAACAGATGATACGTACACTGCCAGCTAATTATGTGAATATGGGTGATGGCCAAGTTGAAAACTTTCACCAGTAGCGGTAGTTTTTGAGAAGACTGTTGTAATTACATTGGGTATTAACCCAAATTTCCTGACAAATACAAACCTACCAACGCCTCAATTCGAAGTAAATTTACTGTCCCATACAACGGGAATATTTTGAATGAGAGCCAAAAATCAACGGTCATTTTGGTTGTTGCACTCCCTCAAATAAAGTTTCCACAAAATCGACTAATTTCTCCTTGAAGTTCAAATGGTTGTGAATGGAATAGAAGTTTTCGTTTAACGGGCTTACGCATCTAGTATCAAAAAGAGCACCCATGAACTAGGCGGAAAATTATGTCCATATCTAGGTAAACGAACAGAAATATGAACACGTTGGAGTGAACAGTGTTGGTCTTATCTAATAAAATATATTTATTTCATGAAATTACTCGAAATAATTCCATATATACAGAGCTGCTTGTGGAGCTATGCAGCAGTCACAACAAATTTAAGGAATAGAAAATGACACCAGTGTTCCATGACACAACACAGAAGAATCAGATGAAATGTTTGATTTATTGCAATGAAAAAAACAGAGCAATTCACAAACGAAGATAAAAACAACAAAATACCCTGAAATCCACAACAAGCGCTGAAACCTAGGTCGCGGAAGTCGTGATACGTTGAAACAATGGTTCAATCGGTTATGAATGGGACAGAAAAAGCTTCCACTTAACGAGACTTGTTTCCACAAGCGACTGGTCACCGATTTCTTGCAGCAGGCATCTCGATGCATAATATGAACAGAATTACTGTAGATGAACAGTAGATTAAAGTTTAAATCCTATCCATGTGTTATGTTAAGCATCCATCAGAAATAAAAGTCTTGTGTTTTAGAAGATTGTTCTCCTCCAAATATCTTCATGGAACGCAATATAAGTCGCCTTCATCTTCAGGGTTAACTACACTGGGGATACAGCCATAGTAAAACAAATTCTTGGATTTAGACGAAGATAGCTTGGCGTTATCATCAAAGAACTAATTTTAGCACTTCAAAACTCAAGAAGGATCTCAATTTGTGAGACACTATGACCAAATTATTTACAAATAGGCATCCGCTCAGTTTTTTCTTACAAGATTATGGAAATGAGTGCGGTTACATTATTTATCAGTAATAATCCCTCTTATTTGGACTTTTAACAGCTTAGGTTGGTTGGTCATTAGTTCATCTCAAACAACTAGGTATATGTCAAAACAGTATCGTTCAAGTATTCATTCACTTCCTTATTTTGTATATGTTATATTTCCTATTATCTTATATTAAATGTTGAGAGGCTTTGTTTGTCTGAACAAATAATCTCACGCTCCACTGTGACTGCGCAAAGATCTAAATAAAGACCTACTCACTACTTGTCTGATTTCTTCTATCAATAGCACGAGTGTTACCTAGAGGCACGAAAAACGCCCTCAAAAGTATGTTCAAGAGGGAGCCTGCAAACCATGTACCTACCATGTCCTGAAAAGAAACGTGCATCAGCAGCACGTCTGTGGAGCTAACTACTAACCCCTTTCGACATTTTACGGGACTGAATTAGGTTGAAAATACAATAACTTCATTTGCACTGATCTTATTGTCATTTGATCGGTGACTGATCGGGTAAATAATGTGCATTACTGGGAATGACCAGTTATCATATGAACTCAACTAGTGGTGATTACATTGGCGTTTCACTTGTGTCAGTTTAAACATTTTTATCAAGCAATATATCAAATAGGACGTTTTTGAAGATTATATAGTTTGAATTCTGAATTCCACAGTAAAACCAATAAACCTAGAAAAAAGAATGTTTCAGCGACGCTACGTAATTTAAGTAATCAATTTTCTATACAATAACGTGGAAAGAACAACCACATCAACTTTTCAACACAACTCCATAGCACTTGGCTCAATAGTTTTGTCAATATCAAGCGACCAATCAAAATGAAAGAAACGGTCACAGAATGTTATTTACGTAAGCGTTGACTAAATTGTCGTAACAAAATATGTAAACCACGCAACCAAAATATAAATTTAAAAAACACATTACCTCGCAATTCGACAGAAAATTTATTATAGTAAAGGACTCGATAGTAGCTGCCTGTAGACCGAAAGCTCCTATATTTTGTTTCATTTTTAGCTTATTTTAAGCCTCGGAATTCCGGATAGCTGTTCTTTGTTCTTCCAGCATATCGTAGTCAACTTTGAAACACGAACATATAACTAGAATACAAATGCCCTGTTTGTAACACTTTACAGCTACGTGGGCACAACAATGTTTCTATCGCGGAAGTCTGAACATGATCCAGACATTTCGAAAGAAACTAGTCAACTACCGTTCCAAACAACCAATATACGTGATTTAAAAATGATTGATCATGTTTGTTATTAAAAAAACGCAGTAAATCTCACTATCGGTTCTTTATGAACCATAAGAAATTTGTACTGCTTCGTCCTAACATCTCTGGTGTTTTCGTACACTGTTCTTTAAGCTTGAAAAGATTAAAACATGGTTCTTCCTCACTGGTGCTTCGCTTTAACGGCAGAGTCGATGGATGTAATGCAATCCAATAAAAACTTTACAGTTTTTATTATGATTGACATTGCAAATTTTAATTTAACAACTATACATACTGGATCTGATTTCTCTTCATATTTGGACCAAGTAAACGTGATCAGACGTTCTTTTCAATGGTATCTGTTAGAATACTTTTGAAATGTTTATAGTTGTGCCAATTATATTGGCAAATTACCTTTACTTGCTCCTTCATCTTTGTGTCATAAAATTTATTCATGAATTACTCTGTATACCGAAATTTATTCAACTGTTCCACAGAACACCTGAGATATCTGATTAGCTATTCAGTCATGAAACTCAACTATTGAACTGTTATCAGCATTTCATCAGTTAGATTTATTTCCTCGTCTCTAGGTCAAGTCCAAGTTTATGCAGACTCGAAACATTAGGGGGTCAACTTTATATAAGGAGTGTGGTCGATGTGTTGGGAAAACGTTTGAACTTTGCTGGTTATTTGTTGCAAGAGATTCGTAGCACAGCGTGCTCGTTCGTGATCTGGTGAGGTTGATTGATCGAGCTAAGAAACTTCAATAACTTTATTCTCACACGCTGAACATGCTCGTTGGTGCTAGTATCCTTAATAAGACATGGATTGGTTACTTGGACACAGTATTCTAGGTATGATCTTGCGTAGATGGAATGTAAAATCCAACACATGTCCTCAGTGAGGTGACAACAACTCTCGAAAACATTTGGTGGCTGCTGGGTTGAAACACTTAGTTGTATTCAAGTCATGAATTACTGTGACATATAAGTCGTCGTTCTCCCGCAAGTATGGAAGCGATGAACCGCTGGTAGTATACTGGCGAATATTGCCGTGTCCAATGTGCATTATCACAATCTTTCTAGAATTATTTTCTAAGCCATAACTTTGAGGCAATCTAACTAATTCGTCTAGGTCAGCTTGGAGAATAAAATGGTCAACCTCATTACTTACTGTTCTCCAGATATTGACATCAATGGTGTCAATGACTTGGGCAGTTGCGGCAACTCACTGAGACAGAGAAGATGGAAGACTCGAAATTATGTCTTGATATACCATTTTTGGCCGATTCAGGTAGTGTCTTATTTACCCTTACCTCTGTCATCGGCCACGGAGGAGGTTCATATCTATTCACGTACAGCACCTGTTGTCCTGAAACTCAAAAAGTTCTGTATAAACTCTAAGTGAGAAAGCTGATCAAATAATGTACTAATATATATGAATGTTACTACGACAGAGAAACAGTTATCTTGAACTGCAGTACAATTTTCTCTCACAGTTAGTAAGTTTACGAGGCGTGAATCTTTAATATGAAACCCGTGCTGCTCGGTTGTTAACAGATTGAGTAATTCTGTGTGGGTTGTAGTTCAGCCTAAATCGTTTTATAAAATAATCTAATTTCTACGCTGATTAAACTGTGAGGTCTGTAGGTAGACACGATCTGCCTCTTCTCATACTTAACTATAAAACTAACTACAGCGTCACTCCAGCCCCAAGGGGTTTGAGTCTGAGAGACGTACTCATTGAGTCGCATCGAGAGCGGTCGTGAGATTTGATGACATTCATGTATGTGACACACCAAAACCCGGGATCATATAAGGTCTGACGTTAATGATCAATCAAAGAACAGTTTCTTCAGTTATTTATACAGGTCCCAAAGATGGTATATCAGTGGTGTGCTTATGACAAGTATTATTAACAATACTCGCGGAGTAGGCTTCAAGGAAATCGTTTGATAGTTTCAAATTCGGCTAAATTTGGTTCAGATAGCACGTCCGTGCAATAGAAATGGAAAGACACATTCACCACACTTCAATCTTCGATTAATATACGAATACAATCGTTTGAGAGTGGTACGGCTATCGTATGCTGACCATCTACCCATTGTCTTGCATTATGCATTCCGGATTTTTCAGCATTTACTCTTGGATGATTTGCAGCCTTTTGACAAGTACAAATATAGTGCAGGGTTAGGAGAACATTCTACATCTGCGATAAGACACGTTTCTGTGACAATCATTATATTGCGAATTAACTCATCCACCATTAAACTTACCTTGGATGTTTTATTTCTTAGACTACGACAATGTGTGTAGCACGTATTTCAGGTTTTTTTAGAATAACTCTCCTACTCATGAAAGTTTAGAAATCATTTGAATCTAAAAATTCGACTGCTCGAAAGCCCTTATTCTGGCTGTTTGTTTTACTGTAGTGAACAAGAACACGGGTTGGGACAAGCGAATGTATTTGACACAAAATTACAGGACCTGTTAATAAAATCCAACAATCACATAGTAAATGCTTCATTTGCAAAATGTCCATCAAGTGTTTGAAAATGACTCAGACCTCATTGTTCCTGCATTTTCTGTTTTTATTCCTTACCGTTCGATCCTCTTGTCTCTCTGCTGCCGGACAATTTGTTCCCGACTAACATTATATGCTACTTATGCCGATATAAGTAGAACACACCACATTGCCACTTCATTTTCATGTATTTAATTCAGTAGGAACTTTCTTCTATTTTAATCGCTCTTCAAGCGACCGGTTAGGTTGGATACGCATAATCGAATCATGAGTTTCGAATATGTTACTCTTAATATCATCCCGTTTGCCTGGAATCCCGCTTGCTGACTTCTAAGTCCTTCATATTTGGGTCTCGCCTCCGATGCACTTCCGAATCTCAGTACGCAGGTAACATGCGCTGTTAATACATCTTTTAGCAGTACATTACTGATGGCAAATTCCAATTTCTTTAAATGGTGTGCATACCTTTTAGCAAAGTTATAGTTTCCAAAATTAAATTAGGAACGGATTTGACCTCTTTGAAAGTCGTGCTTGCGGCTTTCGATTGTGTTGTCTATTTCTGGCTCAAAAACTGAGCTTTTCTTTAAATGTTTATGGATCTGAGTCGCTTGACTCGAACAAATACACGCAATAGTAATAGATGCGAGCGAGTTATTTTCAACCACGCTAGGGTTCAGACTTACTCTGATATATGCTGTAGTATACTGTGACTCAGATTGTGTGTAATGGTAAGAAAATATATTTTGTTGGACAGCATTGCCACCTATTTGTTTCTTACTTCTACCGTCTTTTTTGACCTTTATACACATCTCTTCGAACCGCACATTTTGTTCTTCAGTCCTCCGTGTCCAAGCTTTTTTTATGTGACTGTGGTTAAAGAATTACCTTTTGTTACTTGATTTACTGTTGCGCGTCTCCAGACTATTGACAGTAAGGTCGTGTTTGACTAAACCAATGATCATGTTGTGATTCGCTGTACGGTTGATTACCGTAAAACTGTTTACGACTAATGCTTACGACCAATGTCCTGCATAGAAAACTGAAGTACTTTTCTATCGAGAAGGACGCATCCAACATTAGCATGACTTATGACTTTTTAAAATTCGACTGCTAAGAATGAAACACAAATTATGTTGACGTTCTTTATGAACAGACGAATAATATAAGCCTTAAGACAACGACGCGATCCACGATAGCTAACGACTTCGACAAAATGTCGCTAATATCCGATTACCTACTCAAACGGATGTGCACTGATTGAACTGCTAAGTTTTAAGAACACGCCGAAACCAACAGATCAAAAAACATTCCATCAGTTTGTTTCTTTTATCCTATTTTTGGTATTACACAACTATTCTCTTACATTCTCAAAATTCATACCAAAATGTCGAAAGCAAACAATCAAAAGTTTTTTAATAGTCCCATGTACGTGTTAACAATATTTTTGTAGAGAACCCAAAAACCAATATTTGATGCTGAAGTTTTTCGCGCAGAAACATGATGCAAATGAGCATATATGTAAAAAATTTTATTCGTACTTCATGCGCTCTTATGCAACTTTGAATGTTTTTCGAAGTGCACTCACACTTCACTGAAAAATGAAAAATCCCCCCAAAAACACATAAGTCAAAATTTTCGTTGTACATTTTTGCATTTTTATGTAGCAACACATGCCATATATCACTTCGGGAAGATGACTAGATACTGCTGTGCATAGCAAGCTATTAGGAGTGCGTTTACCGATGGCGAGTTCATTGAGTTTTTGAACTTCTGATTGGCCATGTCTTAGCGTAGTAATATCTGGCCTGTGTATGCGTTGCAATATTTCACCTGTGCCAAAAACTTCAGAATCACCTAAAACGAAAAAATCTATTTCTCACCAGCTTATCCCCGACCAGCACTATATTTAGGTGTTCGTGATCGTTTCTGGATATTTTCATAAAAAGCTGTCATGGATCGACAAAATCGACTTAACGCAAACTCGGTTGACAACTTAATGTATAAGTATCACTAAGTAGTGTTGTTTTCTCGTCGTTATCTTTATCTAGAGCAACTCTTTTCAGTATCTCTCTGCATCAGTTGCCTATTTATTAAACACCTTAGAACATTATCAGTCTAACTGGGGGCATACAAGTCATCAATATAATCAGTGGAGCAATCCTTCTACAAACTGGAAACAATGTCGTACTTAAACCAACACTGAAAAATGTTTGTGACATCATCATAGACATGCATTAGGAGTTGTACTCCTCTTGGTTACAGCTTGTCCTCTCATTGATAATCAATTGAGCAACACCCACTGTTCATTATCTTGCAAAGATTGACTTACTCGAAAGCATCGCGCAACATCTTGTCACTTGTATTTATGGCACATAAACTTAGTTGATATCAACAACAACAACAACAGGATGCCACCATACAGAACACAACTTATCCAAAAAACCTGAAAAGAGAAGACTCCTCTCCCTGATTTTCATTAATGACCGTGAAGAAGAAGTTATCTCACGTGCACCAGTCTCTTCAAATGACTAAAACACATGGATCTCCATAATAAGCTAAAAGTATTTACTTCAGCTTCCGAAAGACCTCACCACAATAAGGTAATGGGTGATAGACAGTGTGTTAAGACTTAACCCGTTAAAACGTTATGTCAATACCACTCCGCACTATTCGAAAAACCAACGTACGCCCTCTATGTGATTCTGCTCCCGATTGTCTTCTCAGAAATTGATCAAAGACTAGTAACCATAGTTACCTGTCGAAAATACCCTGGGATGCAACCAAAGCTAAAACAACTCCTCACTTTATATGACGACATGTTGGAGCAATTAATCAAGTTATATCTATGCTACTTAAAATTTACACAATACGCCATTTGGAAGTCTAGAACCTTGCTTTGACGTTCCTCTTCAAAAAGATAAAAATCTCTCATGCCAAGCACAAGGACGTGTAACTAAGTGAGTGATGGAGCCATGAAACAAATCCTACAAATACGGACTACTGCACACGAGATAATTGTGGCCAAGTTAAAGAAAAAGAAGCAATCGTCTGATAATGACACACAACGTACTAGTATCACGAATCATCTCAATACGAACATTCTATCAGAACATCATTAGAAGCAATTGCCGAAAGATTTTACATTGAGGCAAGCTTTCCTCCTGTGTATACTAATTAATGGATAACTGCATCTGAAATACTCTAGTAGCAGAAATGATTGGAACACTTTTCGTGCCTTAAGGTAGATAAAAGAAACCAGACAAGTAGTGAATAGGTTTTTATTTCGAGCTTCGCGCAGTCACAGCGGAACGTCGGGCTCACCATTGTAGAATTATGGTCTACTATGATATTAGTACTGCTCTAATAATAGACCTAATACTGAAGTCGTAGATTTGTCATGATATAACTGCCGAATCTATAAGATCTTACGTGGAAGTTACATCATCATCCACACCAACTCACTACATCGTAGCTATTATCAATACATGATGAAGAACAGGGTTAGGCTGGAGAGAGAACAATATATTTTATATGAATTGAAGATATAAGGTAACATTCCAGAGGTACCACGCCTGCATGGCCAAGCCATGCCATAGAATCAACTCCAATTCATTCGATACATTCTTCTCGCCTTCTCCATCGTTAGGTATTTCTCCGCGTTATCTCATATTCGGTTTCGAGGATTGTGTGGTTATCGTCCAATGCCACTACACACACGGTGGATTTATTGTCTACTATCTCCTTCTCCTGATTGACATGTGCCTGTTGTTAGTTGCGTAACTTTTCTACTGTCATAATTATCATGTGTTGCAAACTTGTTTCTATCTCACCTATTATCACCTTCGATTTTCCTTTTATTTTTACAATTTCGTATCCTAGCACGGTCCGCAATACTGATCAGTTAACTTTCCTAATTATTTATTCCGTTAAACGGTCTTCTTGTAGCAATCGAATTTTCACATCACAGGTTTTCACACATACTGAGATCGTTCCAAAGTTTACAGGTGGAACTACCGTGCTCATGTCAGTAATTTCAAGGTCACAAACAACGGAAAAGTGTTTTTTTGCTACAATTAAACAAAAAGGTACAGTAAAGCAATCACTTGTACGGTTGGTTATAATAATAATTGTTCCCATTACACCAGTCATGTTCTCTTCATAAAAGTAGATCACTCTAGGATAAAGGAGTAAACTAGGAGCAACCAGGTACGCTCTCCGGTGCATGTCTCATAAATTAACACGGTCGTCATTATAACATATCAGTGAATACTTTCTACCTCCCTAATTACCACCACCGCTTTCTCTATTATTCCTTCAATTCCGTCTTCCTACATAGTACAAATCGAGTAAGATTATTGAGGCAATCGTCTTATTATTACATTAGAATTGTTTTATTATTTTTACATTGCAACCAACAAATCAATCTGCCGACTGTTAATGTGGTAGCAAATGATATCCAGAAACCCTGTCATTCTAAGAAAAATGCATTCACTCCACCACAAGATATAAAAATTCACAAATATATACCACAAAAATTAGAGTAGGTCCAGTAAATAGGCCAGACTACCACCAATCGAAAATTATCGAATACCTGTAACCGTCCTGAAACAACAAGAAGTGAATTAAAAAAGTCTATAAATTTGCACTATCCTGTGACAAATATATTAGATATTGAAAAGATGGTGGACATGGACTCAACGTTGCCACATTTGTTTGATTGGTTATTGGTTAGCGGGACTACGAATGGCAGTTACGGATAGCACGACACATTTGTTCCTTAAGTCATTCATTTACGTATCTAGTCTAAATGTCGGAAGTTAAGGTGAGCTATGTTTTATGCATGAAATGTTAATCATTGACCAGTCAATATATTTTCAGTGAGACTTATTTATGGGCGTCCTTTGAGCGACGTTAAAGAATTATGATTTACAGTTGATGGTTTGAGTTAAAAATAAGATCTGAGGGTTTTATTTCGAAATGACATCAGCTAAAATTTCAAAACACCTTTTAACCAAATGGTTGAATTTTTTGGTTTTTCACCAATATATCCACAGTCTCCAAAATTTTCCGAAGTTTGGAGAAATCTATCTCTGTCCTTCGACTGAACCCCAAGCTTTCTTCGCGTTTCGAAGAAATCCTCTAGTGTCAGTTTTCCACAAATATTTCCAAACCTCTCTATTTTGGGGAAGCGGCGAGACTAATGGACGAGTTCCTATACCGTATGCATTATGAATTCAGAACTTTTGAACCTTTATCAAACCTTAACTTTTTCAACCATGTTAAAGAAGAATATAAACTGTAATCCATTACTTGTAATATATTTTCACTTTATATTAACCGTCTTCTGACTGGTTAATAATTGAAATTGCTCAAACGCTTCTCATTGGCTCGTCTCTTAATTAGAGTCTCGCGAGACTAATTTAGGGACGAACCAGTCAGAAGCGTCTGAGCAATTTCAAGGTCACGGAGCCAAGTTCAACACGCGATGCTAACATACGATCGGTTCATAGCGAATTTTAGAGAGGAGGTGATTAATGAGAGGCTACAACAGATCGTATGTTAACATCGCGTGTTGAACTTGTCTCCGAGAACTTGAAATTGCTCAGATGCCTCTGATTGGCTCGTCCCTAAATTAGAGTCTCGCTTTTAGGTCCTTTATTTAACTCTGCCAAAGGCTTCAGAGGTCTTGTGGGATATTTGTAAGTCATTCAAGTACTAAGACGAAAAAATGTTTGGGGTATTATGTCTATCCTATGAAAATAGTCTGCGACGCTGAAACCTATTCCCACTGTCTTACCACACGTTACTGGGTGATTTAGTGTTCGTTTGTCGTACACTGAGCGATGATCTTGATGATGTCTTATCGTTTCTAAGACTGGTCATTTTAGAGGAAATTCTAAGGAAGTTGAAAAGCCAAGATCGAATCGTTTACGTCTGGAGTTCTGTTTCTCGCACCAAGTAGTGAATTACTGGAATTCTCTACTGGAACGCGTAATATCTGCACCTTTTTTTTGATACATTCAAAGCGAAATCGGACCTCCACATTGTTACAAATTGCTAGGATTAATATGAGTGTATAAACCTATTGTTACTATCGGGTAATGAAGATATCAATATGTAGCGTACATAATCTCGTCCGTAGTAATATGTAGTTACATGGTTTAAAATTGAACAGAATAGATATGCAATACACGTGTTTCATCTGTAGTGTCTAGTTCAGTAATCTATATTTAAGGGAAACATTCAAAAACTGAAATGTTTTTGGAGAAGTCCTATTTAATTTCCAGGACCTTCCAATCTCTCGATTTCGGGGGATCTCTAGCAAACAATTTCAAAGAAATGCAACAAAAACTATAAAATTCCCTCGAATATCACGAGATTGTGTCGTTATACATATAGCGTATCATACACAAATTAAACTTATCATATAGTTTCAATATTGGTAACCAATGATGAAATCTTTTATTTCAAGTTAGAAGTCAGTCAGTCAGTAACAACGTAGAACTCCGTACGTACATACATCAGTTCGAGTTGCCACACCACCTTAACACAGAGATGCAGTTGTCGATCCAAATCCTGTAGTGGTAGAGGTAGCAAGAGTGTAAGCAGTGATCGGGAAGATTAGGGTTTGGAGATGTTATTTAAAGAGTATAATTCAGTGAAATAAATTTGGAAAGAGGAAAAAAGGGACATGAATTCAGAAGATTAGAATTTGGGAGAACACAAAGAGTGTATGCACCTGCGTCATTGCAAACGATTTTGAGTCAGGGTCTCTAACCATCGGTTTCTATCATCTCGCGGTCCCCAACCAGGTAGTCTACACCTACCAACATGGCTCAGTCCACTTGTCAGTGACTTCATGGACTTGTGCCATGTTTTGGTCTGGCCGCTCCTAGCTTTCTTCCAACCTACTCCTATACCACTGAACATCGCACGTCGAGGGAGTCGGTCGTTGGGCATATGTAACACGTGTCCCAGCCATCTCAACTGATGAAGTTTCACTATTTCATCAATTGATTTGCCATCTTTACCTAGTACCCGTTTCCTAACAACTACATTACTTACTCGATCGTTCCAGGATATACGAGCAATTTTTAGAAAACACCTATGATCAAATATTAGTAACCTACGAATGTCCTCTACTCTTACCGGCTATGTTTCACTGCCATAAAGGAGGATGGAACGAACTGCTGCGCAGTAAACCCGTCCTTTGGTTGGTAGATGTATATCTCACCTACGCCATAAATGACGCAAGTCGGCAAAAGCTAGTCGAGCCTTCTGTATCCGTTCTGAGATTTCATCACACACCAGACCACAAGGGCTGATGAGACTCCCAAGATAAGTGGAGCGGTCGACACGCTCAACTACTTCACTCCCTATCATTAGTACGGGTGTCAATGCAACCCAATCCTGAAGCAACATTTTGCATTTCGAGGGGGAGAATCGCATCCCGAACATGCTTGCATTGTTGCTTAGAGTGGTCAGAAGACTGCATTTTGTCAGCGTCTTCACCAAATAAAACTATGTCATCAGCATATTCTAAGTCAACAAGTGAACCTCCCGGTAGAAGTTCAACCCCTGGAAATCTAGACGAGGAAAGTGTTAGCTCAAAGTACGTCGACGAGAAAGTTGAACAAGAATGGAGAGAGTGGACAGCCCTGACGAACACCACTTGAGGTAATCAATTCTGATGACAGTTCGCCATAAGCTCTCACTCTACCAGTTATGTTCGAGTAGAGAGCCTGTGTAAGTTTAATGTACTTCTTTGGTACTCCTTTCAGTGATAAACACTGCCATAGAACCTCACGATCAACAGAGTCGAATGCCGCCTTAAGGTCGGGAAATACTACCATTGTGGGGCGTCTGAATGTGTGTCTGTGTTCTAGAACCTGACGTAGTGTGAATATCTGATCTATACAACCACGTCCAGGTCGAAAACCAGCCTGATTTTCTCTAGTCTGTTCTTCACGAACTTTGGTAAGGCGTCGAAGTATTATTGAAGCTAATATTTTAGACACTATATTTGTCAAACTGATTCCTCTGTGATTGTCACAAGAGGACTTTTGTCCTTTCTTGAAAACTGGCACAATCAGTGATTGAGATCAGTCAGATGGGATTACGTCCAGTTTACAAATTCTACCTAAGACCTCAGTTAATCTCATTGCTAATACTGGACCACCATCCTTAAAAATTTCAGAGGTCAACCTGTCAGGGCCTGCTGCTCTCCCTCATTTCAGATTTCCTATGGCTTTTTCAACTTCGTAAAGAGACGGAGGACCTACATTAACTTGCCATTCAGGTTGACTGGAGATCGTGGGAAACCGAAGTGTGGCTGAAGGTTAGTTGAACTGATCCCTAAAGTGTTCTGCCCATCTATCCAATCTCCTGGATTGAGAATGTATAATATGTCCATCTTTCTCTGAGATTGTTTCGCTAACAGTCGGGTTCCTAATACCGGTTTCCCTAGCAAGTGTGAACAATTGTCTGCTATTACCTATTGCCGCTGCCTTTTCCATTTCACTTGCTTTCGCTACCCACCACTGTTCGCGATCATTGCGCAGGCTTCTTGTCAGCTTGCGCTTAAGCTGACTCCGCTCTTCATTATGTTCAAAGCCAGGTGGAATGAGTTTCCGAGCATCTATCAGTGCGATAGATGCTGCTGAGATTCAGTGTTGCTCCCTAACCTTACGGGTTACCGTACTAGCAGATATCACTGCTGTTTCCACGGCTTTACGGACATCATTCCATGCTGCCTCGGGGTGGGCATCACATACATGGCTGCCTAACTGTTTTTCTAGTTGTTCCTGAAATATACTCTTAGCTTGACTATCATTAAGTAGGGCCTTAAGAGGTTTACTTGCAGCGTCTTTCCTACATCTAGTAAGACGCAGGCAAATACGCGCTCGCACTAGAGCATGATCTGAATCTAAGCATGTGCTTTAGAATGAGCGACAGTCTTCTATCGAACCAACAGGGAAAAACATGTTATTAAAATATTCCGTTCTTCAGGCTCTTTCAGCGAAATTAAGTATTACTGGTTTGAGGAAAAGCAAAGGATTTAAGAATATGAAATCTATAGTTGGAGCTGTCTGTGGGCCAAATATCAAATGTGATACAGCCGGGTGTTGTCGTTAACTCACACAGAACTGGCTCAGAACCTAGCATACGAATAAACAGTTCGTTTCTAAGTTGTAAGGTTACTGAAATATACTGCAAAAATCATTAATGTAGCAACTGAGCTGTCATCACTATGTCTGTTACACAGTAGCATATTGAAACAGCCTGCCGAACCCTCAGTAACACTTAAAAGACTTGGTTTTACTGGGTTTTGTATATAATAAATCTTAGGCATTCATTAGGAATGTAAAATTTAGCATAAACTACGAATGCAAAGTTTTACTTGCTGTTAGTTTTTATGATTCGACTTAACCGTTACTGTTGCCTCAGGCGGGTCACGCGTTCTTATGAGGTTGTTTTCGCCGAGTTCATTTCACCTTAAGGTTGGCATCAGAACTCCGTATGACACCATGTGGACTGTTTTACGGTTTGCAATCCCATGCTTTCCTGTTTGTGGGAACACTATACTGGACACTATTTATATCTAAAACTAACTAAATACTATCACATCGTGTCACAGTCAGCTAAACAGCTGTCTCGTTTTTGCAGACGTCTGGTGTCCTTACTTGATTTTTATTTCTTTATTTGAACACATAAATATTGGTACAAGAGTGCGCCAAATATATATGCGCCACACAAAGCAATGAGAATTTAAAGAGAAGGAAAAAGAAAAAGGTAAGGAGTGTTAAAAAAAAAGAGAACGATGACGAAGAAATTTGTGTAAGGTAGTGTATTAATAATAATAGTAATAATGGGGGAACGGAAAGGTACAATCAGAAGAAATCTTTCAGTTAAGGAAGATACAACCACTTTTTACGAAGAAAGTAAAAGAAGGTTACAGCAGGATCGCCATTTCTGATAACGTCTCTAACCATTGTGTAGCACCATCTCTCGGACCCCAACCAGGAAGTCGTGAAGGATCAACACAAGCCAATCCCTTGCAGCTTTCTTTCATGCCACGACACCATGTCAGATACTAATGGTGTCAGTATATAATTTGAAAGTGGTTTCAACAAAATCTCGAGACAAATATTTGAACGAATTTATATGAGGTTGGTTTCTAGTGGATTATATTTTCAAATAAGCAATTGGGTAAACCATATTGAGAAAGGTATATCTATATCTTAGTAAAAATAGTGTCATATTCTTCGAAAGGTTGGGATATCTATCAGTTGTCGAACTGATATTCTGTGGATTTTTCACCTATATTTTTTACCAGGTATATGGTAAATTTAAAAGTTGATTATTGGGTAGACTGTCTCATTTAAATGAGTTACAAAACTTTGATATATTTTTACATCTTTATTAAAAATTTCGTGTTTACATATTTCTTTAAAAGCTCATGGTTTGTGTCGATAATAAATATTTGGTTTTAACAAATCTCTACAATTTGTAGATTTGTAATTTAATATGATCTACAGTTGTGTTAATTTATTTTCATATATGTTTGATAAAACTTCAGACATACCCTATCTAAAATGCAGTTATTCTTACTGATTTTTACATATCAGGTTGGAATTATTGGAGGTTCTGGATTCGACGATCCAGATTTATTACAAGAAGCAAAAGTGCGAACAGTAACTACTCCATTCGGAAATCCGTCAAGTTTTCTTACTGAAGGTTTTGTTGAAGGTGTCCCTTGTGTTGTGCTTCCCAGGTAATCATCTTTCACAAAAGTGATTTGTTTGTGACACATTCATTTGACTAGATTAAGCGATTGTATTGAATCCATCCCAGATCTGTCCTAAACGTACTCTAGCAGCTGTCATTGGACCAGGGAATAAGGATGAGAATACCATAAATGTACATGCGTTAATTGTATTAGAACTCGAATAAAACACTTAGCCATGTACAAGTCAATTACGATCGCGTACAAACACCAAAACAACTTATTGTTATAATCGATTATCCACTCTTCAAAGTTTTCTAAACTACTTTTCAAAGCGACCAGATGTTGGCCTTATCTAGTTATAGGACATCTTAAGCCAATTTATACATACGTACATTTCCTACTATCTTTTGACCCGCATATTCACTCGTGTACTATTTTGTTGCCAGTTTTACGCTTGCCTGGGTTTTAAATCAAATTAATCGGATGCCTGAGTGACCAACTTCAGGTCGGAAAAACTAGTGTTAGAAATCATGTAAATATTTATCTGTAATGTTTACTTATCACTCTAAAAATGCTCGGCATTATTAATAGTCAAGAAATATGCCACACAAAACGAAGTGACAGCATCTTAATGTGGAAATGTGGGTTGAAGAATGAAAATAATAGAAATAATGAAGGATGTTATGTAATTTGCACTGCTATCGAAGTACACTTTACAGTTTATGGAAAACATGAAATTAACTACTGGTCACCTCTTTTCCCAATCAGTCCTAGTGGCAGCTTAATAGTCCTTTTTATGAAAATTGTCGAGTCACTATGTGTAGAGTTTTATCAAAGTCATCAAGAGTGGTGTTTTGAAATATTACATGTTATGTAAGGACCTTGACTTTGGAACAACATATATAAGCGAACAATATTGTTTTCGACTATATCCTCATCAGGCATTACTCAAATCTACAGTAATATTTATATACATATATAAAATTATTAAACCAATCAAGGCAGTTAGTTGATGTGCCAGTGATAACAGTCGAATAGATTACATAAATAAACATAATAAGTGAAAAATACGAATTGATATTGTGATGACAGGTGTACTAGTAAATTTTCCATAAATATCGACATTTCATCATATTCGTGTGGCACATATATATTTGGTACCCTCTTGTACCAATATTTATGTGTTCAAATGAATAAATAAATTAGTACTAGTAAATGAAAATTTTGAATTCACTTTGTATTGATTGTTTGAATCTTCCTATTTATGTTTAGATCTGCAATTGATCAGTCTCTTATTGGCATATGTGCATCATGTACGGATGCCTCGATATTGCCTTAAGTCACAAGCGTTATAAGGAAAGATGGATGATGGATAGCAATTGAATCCAGGACGCACGTTTCGTCCGATTTATGACTTGTCAGCTGAATTATTATTTTCTATGCTCTGTTCGTTTATATTTCTCCACCCTCTCCCACCTATTTTTTATTAACCCTTCGTTGTCCAGTCATCCTTATTACGTAATCATTTAATTTTTATTAATGTTATTTCAGTGTGTATATATATTATTAACCTATTTCCCACTGAAGTATCGATTCAATCCTTTGTTATTCTTATCACAACTAGTACATCTGTCATCACAATATCAATTTGCATTTTTCACTTATTATGTTTATTTATGTAATCTATTCGACTGTTATCACTGGCACATCAACTAACTGCCTTGATTGGTTTAATAATTTTATATATGTATATAAATATTACTGTAGATTTGAGTAATGCCTGATGAGGATATAGTCGAAAACAATATTGTTCGCTTATATATGTTGTTTTAATTCACAATATAGGAATTTATCAGATCTTCACTTTGTCCAGAAAGAAGTCACCGAACCTTTACACTAATTATACGGTATTTTTGTCGAATGTGAACAATCCTGTGAGTACATCAACGGTCAGTAAACCTGAAGTATATTGTTGAACAATGTCGAGGTGCTAACCGTTTCGGCCATTTAGGAGATGCCGAAGGTTAATGAATGACTTATTATGCGACGAGTAGGATCAGGATATGCTTTTAGGTTTCCTGCATCGTAGTTTACGTCAGTTTTTGATGAAAATCTCAACCCTAACACTCAATTGTAATTTACAGCACAAATTCCTAGCCTTATTTTGATAAATGTTTCACAACTTACCTCGTTTTTCATTGGTTCGGTTGTATACTGTGAGTCAGCTCATTATCCTAACGTCTTCAGCTCGAAAATACCAGGTTTAACAAAGGTTGATCAGAACCACTCGCACTACAACGTTTTGATGCAACACTGATCGTTTAATAGCACCAAAGGTGGCGCACTTTACCATAAATAATTTTGGCTGTTGCTATATGAAACTGATTTTTTTTTCATGGCATTTCTCATATATATGACAATTATTCACCGAATCTCTTATCAGTCTTTTAGAAGCACTTTACGTGAATAAAAATTGCATCCAAACATAAGTTGTGTAACTTAAGTAGCAAATATTTTCATTTCAGTTAGAAAAATAATATTATAATTCTTTTCGAATACTCGAAACTATTAGGTCCAAGTTTTTTCACTACTTTAATTGTTTAACGAAATGGTACACATTGATATTCGTGCACATTTAGTTGTTGATGACTTTGCCGACTGACTATAAAGGTTTAAATTTTTCAGGAAGATTGATGTTAGTAAGGTTAGCCATGTGAATACTTAATGACTTTGATTAGTGTCCAACTAGGGAGCTATTATCATTTGTACTGAATTCTGTATGCAAAATGTATGCTGAACTAACCAGTTATTGGATTTTCCTTGTAGTGAACTGTCTGTATATCTGACCATCAAGCGTCAACTGAATATTATCAGTCCAACATAATTCGTGGTCTTTGATCAAGTGAATCTATTTCCAATATTTGCTAGATATTCGCCATCCAAATCGATGTTTCATTTTTGAATAAGTCCCTATTACATCATATTGTTTTCGATTTATTAAAAACTATCCACAACATCATACCAAACAGTTTTGGAAAGCTAGCTAAATAGTCTGATTCCGAGAAATGTTTGTACAGAAAATTACATCAGCATCTTCAAACACTGGATGTATAAGTCATTGTGATCATTCATAAATAATTACAAAGGTATTTTGAAGCTTAATGCAACAATTATCTATGCTGGATCTTTAGAGCTCTACACAAACCTTTAAAAATATTTTCACTTAAACTTACATGTAATTGAAATGAATGTTAGTTCTTAGTGTATAGGTACTTTTTTGCGTGATGAAAGGTAACGACTTCTCTGTTCGATAACACTAATATGGATTATGAATGACTTGATCACTTTTGTCTTGCAGGCATGGAAAGGAACATTTACTTCCGCCAAGCGAGATCAATTATCGGGCCAACATTTGGGCGTTAAAGGAACTTGGGTGTACTCACATATTAGCCACTAACGCTTGTGGTAGTCTGCAGAAAGACAAAAAACCTGGTGATTTCGTTGTTCTTAACCAGTTTTACGATAATACTCGGAATCGAGAGCTTACGTTTTATGGAAGTGGGCCTCATTCACTGAAAGGAGTCTTACATATGCCGATGGCAGACCCATTTTGTGAAGAAACACGTCAGGTTAGTTTTTGGATAATAAACTAGAGAGACTCGTTTAGTGTTTCTAGTCAAAGGTTAACGTAATTCACTTGGAGATGTTATCTGTTTGGTCAAGATAGTTTTTATTACTTTGGCACTAAGCTTCGCAACTGTACAACCTTGTATGGTTTGTCTTCAGTGGTGCTTTTTGAATGTTTATGTTATAAGATCCTGTCACGTGCTGATGGTTCTTCTGATTGGATTGAAAATGTTAAACAACCTTCAAATGTTTTTTAACAGTTGTTTAATCTATCATCACACGATTGAGATACGCGCGAAGTCAAATTTCACAAAACGACGATTTGTCTAAAAAGCTGTTCTATATTGAGTAATATACATAAATTAGTTACAAAAATCAACTTGTGAGGTATCTGTGGCGCCTAGCGCTTCTGTGAGTTTGGAATGAAAAGGTCTTACTGCAATAACAACATAAGGAATAATTACACAATACAATAATGCAAACGACAGCTGATAGCCGTATCTGATAACAGATAATCAACAACTAAGAACAAAACCAAGAGCCAACATTATGGAAACTGTTGAGTTTAAAAAAGGATTAAATGACTATGCAAAGTTACGAATAACTGTTATAAGAGTTGAAAGAAATTGATTATAGTGATAAATACAATAAATCTTATAAGTGTATGTTAATATTATGGAATGTTAAATGTCAAACTTGCGCATTGAAATTGCCAAAAACGCAACTGTTTACTGAATATTAATAAGTAGTACGAAACAATACACAAAAGAGGGTTGACAGAAAGAGAATAAGGGCAGTGAATAAGAACAAACTTAACAACAGTATATAATAATTAATTCTATTTACCTTTAACAAACAACAACAATGTTAGTCACAGAATATTCTCATATTTCTGGGAAATATATAGGTTTCCTGGAGTGGTAGAGAAGATTTGTAGCTCAGGTGGATTATTTTGATGAAGTTTTGTTCCCTGAGCTGGATGGTTTGATGGTGGAGCTCTCATCATTATTCTGAACGACATCATCAGCACAAACTTCAAGTAGACTTCTGACAAAACATCCAACTCAGAGAGCAAAATTTCTGGACAATTTGTGTCTTTTTAGTGACCGGAGATCTTATGAAATCGCACCTCACTTAACTTTCCAGGGGTTACTGTCCTACTACTTATGGACTTAAAATAGACGGTTGATACAGTCCTATTTGGTAAATACGTTGACAGAATTCAAAATCTATTGGTCACCTTGGGCAAAAACATAAACATGTTCGTGATGAGTTTCTATCCTTCGAAATTCTAAGTGTTGCTTCCTGACTAGTTTGCGTCAACACTTAGTACAATAGTAAGGAGTGTAGTAATTGAGTACATTGACTACTCCACTCGCCTTGGAAATTTCATCAGCCTTTGTGGTTTAGTATCTGAGGAAATCTCAGCACGGATTCGAATAGCTCAGTTGACCTTTGTCAACGTGAGTCACTTGTGGTATAGGTGAAATGTCCATCTGCTAACCATAGCGCGTGTATACTGTACAACAATTTCCTCTGTATTTTGAGGCTGTAAATAATGATCAACGACATGCGTAGACAACTAGTTTCTGATCATAGGTATTTTCATAGCATTACTCACATATCACAGAATGACTGAATGAGTTCTGAAGTTAAACATAGCGTACTACTTTAACGTACAATGTAAAATGGTGTAAGAGTAATGTGGAACGAAACTATGGGTGGCCAACCCAAGACGTATCATTAGTCCATAGAATTATTGAATTTCGGTCTGAGGTATAGCGGTAAGTCCACACTACCCGTCAAAGTTCTCTCATCAACTCGTTCGCAATATTGCAAACGCATTTATTCTATCTTTATCTTCAGTTTCAATATTCCTCCAAACATACCCTTGCATTCCGTCTAACTGAAGCGTATTTTCATGGTTTGATTGTACTTCGTTTTATTTCGTAGGTAATAATTCTAAGCATACATAATAATTAGTCAGTCAGTATCTAGTCTTCATTATGCAGTTGATTGAATCATGAAACGGCAAATGGAATGTTTGAATTTACTTGATAGTTCAACATCAACTTCTTTGTATACTTCATTTTTTCAGGTTCTAATCAAAGCAGCTAAAAATCTATCACTGACTATACGTGATAAAACGTGTAGTTCAGATACAATCAGCAATCATCCGTGTGTACATACTGAAGGTTCTGTGATTACGATTAATGGCCCACGTTTTTCAACTCGTTGCGAATCATTGTTATTCCAAAAATGGGGCTTCGATTTGATTAATATGACATTAGTTCCTGAAGTTTCTTTAGCTCGTGAAGCTGGCTTAAGTTATGCTTCTATAGCAATTGTTACAGATTTTGATTGTTGGAAAGCAGATGAGGAACACGTGAGGAAGTTAACATTTACTGGTTACTTTTGTATATTATTTTATAGATACACACATAAGGATGTCCAATTATTTTGTTATGGTTCCAGTATGAGGTTGTGAATTTCAATGAAGTTGTGATTGTATTCGTCTTTAAATTTGAGGATTTTCATGCCTTGTTAAACTTTGTATTTCTAGGAAGTCCTAAAGTAAGGTATAATGGTTATTAATTGTTGGTTAATATGCCGGGCTACTTTCATTTATAGTTGTTCACAATCGATAGTAAAAAATCTAGGAATTTTTGTGACTCAGTAATTAAAGTACTCAGTTCTTTCAACCAGTAGATTTCAGATTCGAATCCAACTCTACTCTGGTCAGTTAGGTAGTATTACTATTCCTTCTGCAGATTAGTGTAACTCGAATTCGAGTGTTTAATGGTTTACTTAATATATGAGGCACATTATAATCCTTATTGTTGTTTAACCAACCAAACACCAATCTTTTCACTAAACAGATGGATAATTATTTGGTAGTGGAGTTTAGTTTCTGATAGAAATTGGATGACATGATTAGCTGGTTTCTTTTTGACTGGAATCATTCATGATTCCTGTTTGATTGATGGATAATAATTTAAGCATAGAATTAGACTACAACGGTGGGAATATTAACTGAATCTGTTATAATAGCGCCTTTTATTCATTCTATGTGTATTGGTCGTCTGAATAATCAAATGATGTTTTATGACAGACATATTGTCATATTGCATTGCACTAATGAAACTTTAAACAGCTAAAAGCTGAATAATTATTGAAGGCAGTTGAATACCCAGTATAGCGACTCACGTGCAATTAAGTTAATTCTCATTTAGCTCAAACAAGGTCTTTTGTTAACCTATTTAATGGACAAACTCATCCATGCTATAATAACTAGTGTTTTTATTATCATTGTGCTTGTATGAAATACGTATGCTTGAACATTGTTTAGCGCCTACGCATATATTCATTCTGCTAGCTTCATTATTAGCTGCTTAATCCATTCGATGACTCATCCATTTCCTTATATATATATTTGCACTACTACTGCTACAATCGTAGTTCGCTTGCTCATTCATTTTGCCTCTGTTCTGTGTGGTCCGAATTATCTGTTAAATAAACTGTATTAGCTGCTTCTTTTTACCTTATGATTTCACTAGGATCTGATTTCTAGTTTATTTCACTGAATAAAGTTATTACTTTTAGTAAATAATGTTCTCCCAAAAGTAACATTGGATACAGTCTGTTATGCAATGGATAATTAAACAAGACTAGGGAAGAAAATTATCCGGCACTCAAATAATTCAAATTCATTGATGGATGACCTTAATTTCCGACCAACATAAAACCTCTATAACCATCTAAAGGTTAGTCTTACTGAATATGAGACGTAAATCCTTTCTCGGTTTACATGTATATTATTAACTTTCTACAGAATGTTCAATTTATTTGACAGTTCATCATTTGTGTGTGGGCTGCGATACTGCCCGGGTGCCCAGACCGAAGCAGGTGGTTATCTTAGGTGGCCACACCCCGAGCCTTTGACCTAAAAGTCTAACCCACGAGGCAGTGGAGCATCGTAAGGAGATGCATTCCCATGGTAGCTGGTGACCGAAAATTGGTTCGTATGCCATTTTTTCCCTCAGGATACTGGAGCCCATGTGCACCATTGATTTGGTTTGGGATCCGGTTAAAGCCCCGGGCATTCGCTTTTCATCCTCTCATTTTCGTAAACATCATCCTCTCCACGAGAAGACAGTGAGTAGGAATTCCCTGGCAGAGGCTGTGTAAGCGTGGCCGTGTGAGAGGATTTCGAGAGGGAGGGCGAACCCACCCCGCTCTCGGCCATATCAGGGCATTTGGGAGCCAACTCTCCATATTTATGGAAACCACTTTTCTTGCTTCGACTAACAATCAAATGATTCGAATTATTATTATTATCTACGTCATTATTCACCCTCTTTTATTCCTACTCTGTTTATCTTTACTTTTTCGACTTATACAGCAACTCGTCTATGGTGGAAATTCGACTCTATCTAAACGTTCTCGAGTCACTGTCCGGTTGAAAATTGTATGTTACCACCAAATATGAATACTAAAGCAGTTTTTCTGGAACCTCGTGTACCATTCAAACTGGCTGCCTTCATTCGTTCGCACACTAATGCACAACAGATAGGACTGACCGTCTTTAGAAAGTATTAATATCGATGTCTGCTGTCTATCCGAGACCCGTATTCAAGACTCTGGTAAAGTACTACAAATTCGCTCTCCATCTGTTGCTTCAAAAAGCTTGTTTTATGTGCGTTTATCCGGTGACCCTGTGGCATCTCCGTATGGTCTTGCTGGCGTTGCTATCGCACTAAGCGCTAGAGCTGAGGCAGCACTAATAGATTGGATCACAATTAACAGTCGGTTATGTGTTGTTTGATTAGAAAGTTCCATCAAAGTGAGAAGTCGGCGTGGGAATCGATGTCCTGTCGTCACCTCCGCCTATGCCTTGACAGATTGCAGCCCGGATGCAATCAAGGATGAGTTTTACCACCAGTTATCTGTTCTTCTCCAGAAAGTGCGTTCGACAGATAATGAAGTACTAGCCGGAGACTTGAATGTTCAGGTCGGGCGTCTAGGCACAGAAGAGAGTCGTTTAGTTGAACGATGGGGACTTGTTGGTCGCAGGACAAATAACGGGGACCGTCTACTGCAACTGTGCACAGAAAACAACCTATTCCTGGCCAGCACTATCTTCCGGCACAGTCATCACCGATGTGCCACCTGGCGTCCTCCCTCTTGATCTCAAGCCTGGACTCAGATCGATCACATCGCAACCTGCTACCGTTGGCGCGGATGTATACAAGACTGCCGCTCCTTTTGGAGTACCTACCTGGACTCTGACCATGTCTTGGTCTGCGCCAATCTTACCTTACTTTTCAGTGGTCAACGAAGTGACCGCCATCAACGGGTTGATATTAGCAATCTGGTTGCAAATTCTGTTGCTAGTAAGTATCGAACCGAGATAGTTTCTAGGCTAGCTACCATTCCACCGAAAAGTATAGATGAGCATTGGTTGCAATTGCATGACGCCATGAAAATGGCGGATACAGTCAGTTGTGGGTTCGCAAAACGTCCCGCTTATAAGTACTGGGTTTCTTCTGGTTCCTTACAACTCATTGAAGCCCGTCGGTCTACTCCGGGTGACCGTGGATTGACTACAAACGAAGGATGTTACGTAAGGAAATTGGGCAAAGCTTGCGTAAGGACCGAGATGCCTGCTGGTGGTCGGAGCGTGCTAATGAGTTGGAAGCGGCGGCTGCATCTGGTAACTACCGGAAGCTCTTCAAACTCATCCGAGCCACCGGCAGCAAGAAGTCTGGTGTGAGCGAAACAATCTACGAGGATGATGGGATACCAATCACTAACATCGATCAACGTTTTGGACGATGGGCTGAATTTTTCGAAGAGCAGTCCTGCCCTCCATGGCCGGTGACGACTGATTCACCAAATGAGGCGGAATTCTGCAAGGAACCCCAACTCTTGGAGTGCTACAAATCACCTGGCCCAGATGACTTACCTCCGGCTCTTTCTAAAGATGGTGGTGACTTTCTGGCTAAGGAACTGACGACGTTGTTTACAAAGGTTTGGGAGCTAGAGAGTGTATCAACGTCATGGAATGAGTCGATGGTTGTCCCTATCTTTAAAAAGGGTTCACGTTGTTCCTGTAACAACTATCGGGGGATAAGTCTACTTCCGATTGCGTCCAAGCTATTGGCTTCCGTCATAATTCGTAGGTTGTTCAAAATCCGAGAAAGGTTGAATCGCGAGGAGCAGGCTGGGTTTCGTTCCGGTCGAGGATGTATTGATCATATCTTCACCCTCCACCAAAATTTTAGAACACCGCCATACTTATCGAAGGCCAACAATTATAGTGTTTCTTGACATTAGAGCTGCCTTCGATTCGTTGGATAGGACTGTTCTCTGAGATTGTCTATTGAAGAAGAGTGTGCCTGAGAAGTTTATTAGCATCCTAAAAGCCCTATATACAAACACCTCAAGGAGAGTGAGGGCATACAACCACCTTTCTCTATTGATCCATTCGAGTAGTGGGGTTAGACAGGGTTGCCCAATTTCACCAATCCTCTTCAACTTTGCCATCGACGACATTCTGGAAACAGCTCTGATGGATGTAAGTAATGGCGATGTGAATCTGTTGCCTGGAGAAAGTCTTCTCGACCTTGAGTATGCGGACGATATTGTCTTACTGTGCGATAATGCCCAAGCCATGCAGTCCGCACTTAATCAGTGTCCGTAGGTATGGTATGTGCTTTGCACCTTCCAACAGCAAAGTACTTCTACAAGACTGGCAGGATTCTAATCCTGTACTCACTCTGGATGGTGAGCAGATAGAAGTAGTCGAGAAGTTCGTGTATCTAGGTAGCTGCATAAGTGCTGGTGGTGGCGTGAGTGATGAGATCAATGCATGAATGGTGAAAGCCAGAGCGCCTTATGCCAATCTGGGCCACCTTTGGCGCCTTCGTGATGTTGGTCTGGCTGTAAAAGTTCGGATCTAAAACGCGTCGGTGAGAGCAGTTTTGCTCTATGCTTGTGAAACCTGGCCACTTCGAGTTGAGGATGTTAGACGACTCTCTGTGTTCGATCATCGCCGTCTCCGAAGGATTGCTGACATCCAGTGGCAACTCCATATCAGTAATACAGAGACTGGGACTGGTTGTAAAAAGCGGAGAGGTGGTCAGTGTATGACATGGTGTCGTGGTATGAAAGAAATCTGCAAAGGACTGGCTTGTGTTGGTCTTTCATTACTCCCTGGTTGGGGTTCTAAAGATGTTGCAACACAGTGGTTAGAGACGTTATCAGAAATGGCTCAGAATAGAAGCCAATGGCGATCGTGCTGTAACCTTCTACTTTTTTTCGTAAAAAGTGGTTTTATCTTCCTTAACCGAAAGATTTCTTCTGATTGTACATTTACGTTTCCCCCATTATTACTATTATTGTTAATACATTACTTTACACCAATCTATTTGTTGTCGTTCTCTTTTTTCTAACACTCCTTACGTTTTTCCTTTTTCCTTCTCTTTAAATTCTCATTGTTTTGTGTGGCGCATATATATTTGGCGCACTCTTGTACCAATATTTATGTGTTCAAATAAATAAATAAATAATTCAATTTTTTTGAAACTAGCAAGTTCAACCTTGGCATTGATATCAACAAACTCATTTTTGATGTATTATTTTTTTTTTTTACCAGGTGTGTGTTGATATGGTCTTGGAACAGTTTAATAAAAGTGTTGGTCAAGTTAGAAAAATCTTATTAGAAGCTGTGAGATTGATTGGTGCTCGTGACTGGACAAAAACTATTGAAGCAAATAAGGTACTTTGGTATTCTCTCACAGACTTGTCTTTTTTGTGTCACTTGATTAGATATTAGTGGCGGTTCATTTTTTATAACAATGTTAAGCAATCTACCTAATTTTTTTGTCTAAAAATTCTGAAAGGTGTGTTTTGAATTATTCAATATTATCATATAAGATTACAGTCAGTATCATCTGCCAGACATAAACTCAATACATACTGACAGACTTTAAACACTTGGTGCCTGTTAAATTGAGCTATCTATACAAAGGCTATAACTAAACGTAAAATGTATTTGCATTGATAAAAACTATGTACTATGTGTTCCAGAAAAAGGCACAAAGAAAGTCATCGCTAAACCCGGAAGCGCTGTCAACAGAAAGTGTATTCTAAAAGATTCAAGCCACAAACTGCTAAAGTAACAGTAGCTCTTCACGAAGCCGGCTCCCATAACCGTAGAAAGTATGTTTCTCTCAAGATTAATGGGTATGATGCCCGCTTACAGTTAGACACAGCCTCCGATATAACATTTATAAGCAGGAGAACGTGGGAGAAAATTGAGAAACTGAGAATATATTCAACTCATCAATCAGTACAGAGTGCATCTGGGGAGATTCTAAACGTCCCTGGTGAGATTCATTGTGAAGTTACAGTCAAAGAGTTTACGGAGAAGGGTGTAATTTTTCAGACAAACTGGCCATCATTCGACTTACTGGGGCTTGGTTGGATAGAAAGGTTGAAGTTAACAGACCGCCCCATAAACTCGATCTTCAACAACGTCGGTACGTCGAAAGTTGAGAAATACACATTCAAAAGAGCACTACTGAAAGGGGAAGGAGAGGGGACAAGTCAGGTAATTACGAAA